TATCTTCTCCTGGTTGTAGGTTAATTTATTATTTCTTGTGCATGTACCGTCAAATCAGATCTGACTGGTACAGGAGGAAATTGTCCCTCCTTCTCCGATAGAGCATCTGATGAATTCGAACCATGTACCTGTAAAGCACTCTTGTTGCACAGAAACCAGCATGCAGATGTCCAATGAAAAGTTTCTCACCTGACCTTGAGTATAGATTTTGTCTGAAAAGAGCCATATTCTATGTTTTGGGCTGAAAAGGAAGATTGATCTCCTGCCGTCTTATAGTCACATGCCATGTGCTGATTTGGTATCAGGGATACCAGGGTAAATATGATTTAGAATATCTAAGAAAGCCTGTAGTCTGGCCCAGTAGTGCTCATAAGGTGATCTAGGGTTTGGAAGAATGTGCTAAGGAGGTCAAGAAGGCTGCATGTAGGAGGCAAGTGTGCAAGCTCAGCTAATGAAAAGAATTGTGGGTGGAAGGGTCGTCTGGGCAGGCGAGCCCGGCATGAGTGAGAGCTAAGTGAGAGGAGCCTTGATGTGGATAGTGGATTGAAGCATTTCGCCCTTGCTCACTCTTTACACACAAGAAGGGCTGGAAGCTCGCAAAATGCAGCAGGGGAGGTGTGGAGTGACCTGTATGCAGGGTCCTGGAAGACAGATATCTCTGCTAGTGATATTGAAGAGCCAGGGATCCATTAGAAGCTGGGAAGTACAAGAGAACGATCGTTCCAGCCTGGTGAAAAAGGAGTACTTGGCAGTCCCTCATGAATGCTCGAGGCAGCTGAACTAGCCCTGTCACAGTTGGGTTATAGAGGAAGGGACTGATTTGAGAACTACTTAGGCCAGGGCAAGAGGAAGATGGGTGTCTGGATGGTTAACGGTGTCCTCCACTGAGACCAGAAGGGCGACAGGAAGCTGCAGAGAGATTGTTGTTTTGTCGTGGGATGTGCTGAGTTTCAGGATGTAGGGCAGTGTTAAGACTGTTGATGAACCTGAAGATTGGGGAGAAGGCAAAGCAGGACTTAGAAGTTTGGAAAGCATCAGCTGTCATCCATTAGGAGGATATTTTCTGCAGATTCTATGTAGAAGGTTTGTAGGTGAACAAACCTGTCTCTTGGTCACCACTGGTCCCACATTTGCGAAAGGTGAAGTTGTTGATAACAGAAATGTGTAATCTGCTTCTACTATTTCACAACCATGAACAGTGGGAACTGGGCTTCTTCGGAGCTTGACCTGTGTGCTTATGAGCTTGTTTGCACATAGACTGAGGTCTCAGTGGAAACTTTACAAGGACCCCTAACCTGAGACTTGGGCCAAGCTGTAACCCCAGCGTTCTTCTGCACCCCCCTTCCCCCTTCTTTACCAAGCAGGTGGAATTAGCCACGTTCAGCTGGGGTGCTTGTCCACTCAGCTCATGTTCACTGCTCCTAGTGGCAAGAAGAAATAGTGAAGAGGCAGAAATAATAAGAAAACAGTCTGGTTTTGAAAAGCAAATGATGAAGAACATATTTGGTAGTGATTTTTCGCTTTTACTAATAATCAAATTTAAAGGAAAAGTTATAAGAATACATTAGTTAGTCACGAGAAGGGAGCTCTCATGGTGTAGTCAGTGGGGCATCGTGCTGCTAGTCCGATGGCTGTGCCCTGACAGATCAACTCCACCCGTGGCTCCGCGGGAGAAGAATGGACAGTCTCCGCCTGCCGCGTGCAGTTGACTGTGAAGACCCGCTAGAGGGTTGCTTGAGTGAATCTGTCGCAACTCAAGAGCAGTTGTAAGAAATGAATAATTGATTCCGTTTAGATGTTTTAGAGGGAAAAGGGCTTTTCTAGAAGTGTTGAGAAGTGAAACCCAGTTCTTTTTTTTTTAATTTTATTTTATTATTGTTTTTTGTGCATGTACCGTCAAATCAGATCTGACAGGTACAGGAGGAAACTGTCCCTCCTTCTCCAGCACAGCATCTGGTGGATCTGAACTGTGTACCACTGGGATTGCAGTACAGGTTCTTGCCATTAGGCCACCAGAGCTCCCCTGAAACCCAGTTCTTGAATTGCTTCTTAGGAGATGCTTGTCTTCCTTTCCAGATGTGATGGATGTTGCCTGGTCTCCCCATGATGCCTGGCTGGCCTCTTGCAGCGTGGATAACACTGTTGTCATCTGGAATGCTGTCAAGTTCCCAGGTCAGGTGCCTTCCTCCGACTCTTGGGCTGCTCTGTAGCATCGCTGCCTTCCTCATAACCTGATGGCCCCAAGGGTATCCTGGGGCATGAATTTGGGGTCTTACCAGTAACCGTGCTCTTCACTTCTCCCTTTTCAGTTGATTTTATTTAGGATTTAAAAAGAGATTACTATCGAAACAAGATAGTGACTTTAAGTGCTGACTCGGATGTGGTGGCCAGATCATGAGGGTGGTACATGGATGACTTGTGCTTACTGGCACCAGGCATCTCATGAGTGCTCTGTCCTTTGAGCACATGAGTTAGCTCAGTTGCTCTCTCCTCAAACCCTGGAGCAAATAGGGGCTAACACAACCCAGTTTTTAGAACAAATCTAGTTCTTGCTCCTTTTCTGCTGGCAGCATGCTGTAAGGTTTGGGTTTACCCTTTGCTTTCCAGGGGCCCTTTACCCCTCTTTCCTCTTCTTTCTCACTCTAGCCTTTTGTAACTTATAGTTCACTAGCTATGCTTCTGTTTATTTCCTTAATAAACCTTTTTCACTTGTTTTGCTAAATTTAAAAAATAAGAAATCTAGTTTTCCTTAAAATAAGGGTTCATTTTTCTTACTTACTGTGCTTAAAGCCTATCCAAGTCTGCTGCACTTTAATGCTTAGTAAAATACTTCTTAAACTTTTGATATTTGAAATGAGTATCCCTCATGTGTGGGAATTTCTTCGTCTAACACGGACAGGAGGGATTTATAGAGAACGATGTGAAAGGAAGCTCTTTGTAGCTTCAGGATGATGGATCTGCATGAGATGCCTTCTCACACGCCTTTGTCTGCTTTGATAGCTTACACAGACCTCACCAAGCACAAGGGCCCATCCCCAGTGCTGTTGGCTGCACCTGGCAGGGAGCTGCCAGGCAGGTTCACATCAGAAGTGTGAATGTCCCAGCCCAGGAGAGTCCAGGAGGGGAGGCCAGGGCTACTCAGCACCTCACCTCTGGTCCATGCTGAGTGTCCTGCTTTCCTGTCTCTTGAAGGCCCATGATATTAACTGTAACTAGAAGGAGATCTGGTGCCTGCCTTTTGATGCAGTATTTTGTCAGTTGTTTTTGCCCAAGAGCAGTTCAAATTAGAGTTGCTTCAGGGGAGGGAGGGAGAGGCGGAGGGCCATGGCAGGCCTTGAGTCTCCTCCCTTCTTGGCTCTCCAGCCCATGATAGACTGCAGGGCATTTCTTCGGTCTGGAACCATCATTTTCCCCATTATAATGCTTTTTGAAATGTCTTCTTTCCTCTCACCCTACAGAAATTCTAGCTACGCTAAGAGGCCATTCTGGTTTGGTGAAAGGGTTGACATGGGACCCTGTTGGTAAATATATCGCCTCTCAAGCTGATGACCGAAGCCTGAAGGTGTGGCGGACGCTGGACTGGCAGTTAGAGACCAGCATCACCAAGCCTTTTGATGAGGTAACTGGAGACAGCTTGGCCCCAGCAGCATGGCAGATGCTACGGAGAGGTTTGGCAGCTGCCTCAGGTCTTTCTTGATCTTTGTGCCAGAGGAGGAGATGGCAGTGGCCCCGGGTGGGTGAGTGAATGCGCATGACCCCTAGAAGGTCCCCCCACAACAGGGGTCTGAGTGGGCCAGTCAGAGTTTTCCCTGCCTGTAAGAATCAGAAGACTGGAATCTTCTGAGTATCTATTGAGAGTTCCAACTTTGAATTGGGAACATTTGTGCGTTTTAAAAGTTGAAGAAAACCTTAGGGATGTTACTGTATTGTCATGTTGCGTGAGCCACTGCCACAACGTGGATGAAATTTCTTACCTTGTGAATTTGCTATCTCGCCCCTTAGTAGAGAGGCTTGCCATGTATAAGGGGAGATGGAGGAGACATGTGTCGTTTCCTTGCAGCTTGACTCATGGACTTTTGCCCTGTATTCCAGCCCAGTTCTTTCTTGAATAGTATAAGCTGTATGGTTTGCCAAATGTTAGGTGATCAAACTGAACTGCTTTTGTAGTTATTTCAGTGTTTTTCCTTTGAGTTCTGAGATATAGGCTCACAGTTCGAGGACATCATTACATGTTTGTTGTTGTGTACCATCGAGTCAGACGTTCTCATAGCTGACCCACCGGTGGGTTTTAAGAAGCGGGAGATTTTCAGAAGCAGGAGGAGATTTTCCATCCTTCTCCGGTGGAGTAGCTGGCAGGTTCAAACCATATGCCTTTGAGATGACAGCACATATTCTGACCACTAGGCCACCAGAAGTTATTATTATAAACCTGATGTTTATTAGTGCCTGCTATATGCAAGGCAATAACTAGAGCTTATTATTATAAACCAGATGTTTATTAGTGCTCGCTGTATGCAAGGCCATACTGGAAACAGGGAAATAAAAATGGGTGAAGATATTTTCACCCCTTGAAACTTATAATCCAGTTGGAAATACAGACATTCAAGTCACTTTTAAGTGTGGTGACGAGATTGCCCTGAGTATGCAGAATGGCACAGGAAAGTTAGCCAGGTTTGGCAGACACAGAATCAGCAGCAACATCTCTGTGTTTGTGGTCACTGTTCAGCTTTTACAGGGAAGGAGAGGACACTGCAGCCCTCAGACTGGTCAGAGAGCAGTGAAGCGTTTGACATTAGCTGTCAGTGTGTGTACCAGAGGCTCGGTGCTGCTCTGTCTGTACAGCAGAGTTCTGACTTCACTCTTAAGGTCAATGTTTTGGTCACTAGAGGTGACAAGGAGCTCCTTTGACATCACAGAGTGTGTCTTTCAGTGCGGAGGGACGACCCATGTGTTACGACTCAGCTGGTCACCTGATGGGCACTACCTAGTGTCTGCTCACGCCATGAACAACTCTGGCCCCACCGCCCAGATCATTGAGCGAGAAGGCTGGAAGACCAACATGGATTTCGTGGGCCACCGGAAAGCCGTGACTGTCGTGGTGAGTGCCTGGCCTGCAGGAACATCCTGACTAGAAGGGCACGAGGGAGGTGGGTGGCTCTGGAGAAGCACAACAGCGCCACAACCAGGGAATGAGTTGAAGGGCTCCAAGATTCTGCCTATATGGGAGTGTTACTTCATTTTAAAACCTATGTTCAAACTTTGGAAAACAAATTTTACAGAAGATACATATTTGTTTTATTGGGAACCTTGAATGTAAATATCACCAAACTCAGTTTTTGACGGGGAGCATTGAGTCCATTGTTGGTGTTTGTGTGCAGCGGTCCCAATGGGCCACTCTCCAGGCGCAGGTATCATTCTGGTGTCTGTCCAGCTTGTGCTTGGCCTGCACCCACAGCTCTCAGTCATGACTGGAGAGGCCAGGCTGGAGACCACTGGGGTTTTCTCTGTGTATGATTGATTGCTCGCCTACTCCTGATATAGAAGGGACAAGGCTGACAAATGTGAGCTTGGATAACTTCTGAGGCTAGAGATGGCATTTCACACCTCACCTTAAGCTTAAGTTAAAGTGTCACCTAAGACATTTTCCCTGAAGAGTGTTAGGAATATTCTTTCAGAAACAGGATGTCCTCAGAATAGACCACCAAAGCACAATAAGTGGACCAGAAAACTGAGGCTGCTAAAACAGGAGGGTTGTCCAGAGTCTGACATCAGAGTTTTGAGCAAACGTCAAAGTATCTTTGTCATTCCAATGCTTAAATCTATAATAAATATATCACATATTTTGCCTTAAAAGACATACTTTTTCTAGGAATAAAATGTTGGTTTCTGTTTTATGTGTTGGGTCCATTTAAGGTTTACTTGTAGGACCTCTTAGAAATCCCTGGTCCATAGTTAGCACAAGTAGGCCTTGCTCACGCCGTCCTCAGAGTCATGCAAGGCTGCACTGAAAAGGCAGCACCTGCACCCCAGAGCCACTCACACTCTTCTGCATTTCCATCTCTTCTACGTTTTTGCTGGAGGAGTCCTAGTAGCATGGTAGTTAAAATGCTTGGCTTCAGTGAGAGGAGAATATGATGCTCTGTTTCGTTTGTTTATGTTTCTTTACTGGAATACACAGTTTCAATAGTATAACAACCAGGCATTTCTAATGTTATACAAAAAGTAACTCTTTTTAACAATCTCCACTAATTTTATTGTTGATAGATGCTACAATAATGAAGATATTTTTCTTAATGGAATTATTTTTAAAAATTTTGTTGTGGTAGATGCTGTTTCTGTAGTGAAACATTATAGTGTTAGAAACTATGGGAAGTAATTACATAAAATAACAAGGTATATGAATGATTGTATTAAATACAATGTAAATTAAAAATTATATAAAATACAATATATATGAATGAAACACAGTGTATACAAGTTATTATATGAAAACCAATAGAAAATTTAAAAAACCCCATATCAATAGATTTCAGTAAGTCATTAATTATTCTGAGCTATTCTGTATTTAAAAAGAAAAGTACTTCTATGATTGTTGTGGAAATGAAGCATTTGCTGAGTGAGGCTCAGTGAAAATGTCCATGGGAAGCTCCCACCAATGGGGTTTTGGGGCTGATAGGGATATGATCCTTGGATATAGGGTGTACTACAGATTTGATCTTTGATTCTTTTATTAATGTTTTGTTACTTGGCTTTAGAAATTCAACCCCAAAATCTTCAAAAAGAAGCAGAAGAACGGAAGTTCTGCGAAGCCCAGCTGTCCGTACTGCTGCTGTGCTGTGGGCAGCAAGGACCGCTCGCTCTCCGTCTGGGTGAGCCCCCACCATGAGCATTAGCTGTCGGGGTGGGAGGGCAGGGGTTGGAGGCTCCTGGGCTGGTAAAGGCAATACAGCCTGGAAAAGAGGCATACACCTTCTGTCTCTCCCATCTCCATTCCGCCCTGTGCTCTGGAGACAGTCTTTCCTTGGAAGTACAAGTCCTTGCATTACTTCACAAGGAAGTAGTGGAGCCCAGGCCCAGCCAGAAGAGGCTTCCCATCACCCCCAGCCCAGCCCCTAGCTACTGTGTGTCTGAGTTCAGCACCAGCTTTCAGCCAGTACTTGGCATGTTTATGTGCTTTTTTAAAAAATCTGTTTGTATCAATATGTAAACAAACATCCATAAAGTGCACTTTTCTTAGATGGTACAGCACACTGAATTGCTACATTTAGATCCACCAGCATAACCACTACCCCATCAACTCCTTTTTCTCTTCTCTGTCAAGACCCCATTCCCCAGCTGAGGCAGTTACTCTAGCAATTTCTATCAGGATTCATGAGGTTTATTTGACCTTGAGCTTCTAGTATAAATGAAATACATGTATTCTACTGTGTAAATATACCACCAGTTACTTATGTACTTTTCTGTTGATAGACACTTGGGTTGAGCCTGTTTTGAAGAGTCATAACCAAAGCTCATAGGAGCCTTATTGTAGAAATCTTTTAGAGACATGTTTTCATTTCTTTCGAGTACATACCGTAAGTACGGATTGACTTACACATTGCTGCAAATGACGGCAAGTTTGTTTCTAAGCACGTTCATCAGTTTAAAAAGTGTGCGGCAACGTGTTAAGTTAAAAAAAAACACAGTGCCAAGTGTTGGTAAAGATATTGCTAGTTGGAGTTAATATCCTGATGCACATTTAAATTGATACAAACCTTTGAGAAAATTGTTTGGCAATTTCAACTAAAACTAATTATACGACACCAATTCCACTAATAGTTAAGACCAATATGTGCTTTTTCACACAGGTGTGCATGTACGCAATACCAGAATGTTCCTAGTTGTTCACCTGTTTACGTAGTTAACTTGAACCTTCACTAATTTGTCTATTTAATTTATTAGGCAGCACTCTTATGAGAAGGGAGCCCGGGTGATGTTGTGATGTTGGGTTACTGACTAAGCATCCACTAGCTGCTCCAAGGGAAAAAGATAAGACGGTCTCCTCCATAACAGTTTGTGTTCTCCAACCCCAGTGGAGGATTGCTGTGAGTGAGGACCAGCTCGGCAGCTGGGCCTCTCGTGTTCTCCCCTGACGTGGTCACCCCTACGCAAGGACCTGCATCTGCAGCTCAGTGCCCTCCTTAGAGCAGGTTTTCAGCAAATATTGATGATCGTGTTCATAAGTGAAGTCTAAAGGAGAAGAACTGTAATCATTTCTGAGTCAGAGCTCTGTGGTTCCACTACAGACTCCAGAATAAGGGAGCTTCGCTCCCTGGAGAAGTCTGAGGCCAGTTACAACAGCGCTGAGTGCTGAAAATTACTGTCTCGCTGCCGATGAGTGGTGGTCTCGCATCGAAAGGGCCTCAGATGTTTGTGATTACAGACACAGGGAGGAACCCCAGCTTCACGCAGTGTGGAGGGAGGTTACTGTCCTCTGAGGCTTGGGGGTCACAGACTGTTCTCACCAAATAGCTTAGTGGCTGTGTTCTGTAGACGCTTTCTGCCAGTTGATTCAGAGTTTGAGAAATAAAGTTACACGCATTTAAAAAAAAATTTCCAAGAGCAGAGTAGATTTGAAATCATAAATTTGAATCTCACTCTGAGGTTGTCTTTATTGCATTTGTTTGTTGGAAAATCACCTATTGCTGTGTACGTATTAATTTTTCAGGCCCAGTAGCATTTAACACCCATTCTAGAATGGAGACCATTCCAGGGCTGTAATGGGCAATTCAGAACATGTTCAGAAACCAAGAACTCCATTCATGGTGATATGACTAAGTCATTGATGACCATGGTGCTTGTGTTTCTCAGAATGATGAGGTCAGGTGGCTACTTGGTTCTTGAATTTCTGAGCAGTTTATAGATTTGTTGGTGAGAGAGGGATAGGCACAGTGGGACGGGCAGGATGCTTATTATAGAGTCTGGGGAACCCAGACTCCTGCCTTCTCCTCCAGGATATGATTGCTGCAGCTCCAGCTCCTGGGCCTGGCCCTGCCCCTACATAGACAGTTTCAGGCAGCAGCTGAGTGGAGAGATCAGCACCCAGTAGGACCCTTCCCCATTGCTCCCTTGCTCAGGACCAAGTACACTTGGTATACTGCATAGTCGGACGACTTCTATAATTGTAAGAATCAAGAGACCACTACAGCCCAATATTAGTGGCAGGTTGTGTTGTTGTTCGGTGCTGTTGAGTCGCTTGCCACTCATAGTGACCCTATGTACAACAGCCCTAAATCCTGCTGTGTTCCTTGCCAGTCTCAGTGTCTCAAACATACCTATCCACATTACCCCAGTGACGGAATCAATCCATCTCATCAGGGGTCTTCCTCTCCTGGGCCATCCCTCCACCCTTCCAAGCATGACTTCCCTCTCCAAAGACTGGTCCCTCCTTGCAGCATGTCCAGAGTATGTCAGACGAAGCTTTAGAGTTCTTGCCTCCAAGGAGCAGCCTGGCTTCACCCTCTCTAGCACGAACTTGTTTGTTCTCCTAGCAGTCCACAGTATATTCAGTTCTCTTCTCCAGCACCATAGCTCAAAGGCATCAGTTTTCCTTCTGTCATCCTTAGTCATTGTCCGGCTCTCTGAAGCATAACAAATAATGGCAAAGACCATAGCCTGTATTAGGCGCACCTTAGTCTCCAGACTGACATCATTGCTTCTCAGTACTTTGGAGAGGTCTCTGACAGCAAACTTTCCCAACGCAAGTCGTCTTTTAATTTCCTGGCTGCTGGTATCAAGATTGTTGATTGTAGAGCCAAGCAAACTAAAGCTGTGAACAATCGCAATCTCTTTACCATCTATCATGATGCTGTCAATCGGCCCAGTGGTGAGAATCTTTGCTTTCTTGACATTGCACTTCAATCCCTTTAGAAGGCTGCAGTCCTTGACCTTCTGCAGCAAGCGCTTCAGGTCCTCCTCAGTTCAGCAAACAGGGTTGTGTCATCTGCATAATGCTGGTTGTTTATAAGTCTACCTCCAATCCTAATGCCATACTCCTCTTCATAGAGCCCAGCCTCCCAGATAACCTATTCTGCATATAGATTGAAAAGATATGGAGAATAGGACACATCCTTGACGTACACCTTTCCCAATTTTGAACCATGCAGTGTTCCCTTGCTCTGTTCTGACGACTGCCTCCTTGTCCAAGTATAAGTTTTACATAAGCACAATCAAGTATTCTGGGATTCCCATTCCTCTCAAAGTCAGCCACAGTTTATTGTGATCCACACAGTCAAATGCCTTTGCATTTTACTGGCCAAATAGTGGTTATTATATATGGTGTCTGTTATGAAATCCTCAAAAAAAAGGATATTAAATATGCCTTAAGATGGAGAATTGGGCCACAACTGTGTGCCATATTTTAGAGAGTAAAATAAATATGCATATTAGGTATGAAAAAAATAATCCATTGGCATATTACTAACACTTAACATTGAGTTTAGATTTTACACTTGATTTGAGTTTATATACTGCCTGTATATACTTTTGAGAATGAGCAAAGTCAGTTCTATACTGAATCAATATAACTAGTATAGCTGTACTTAGCTAGTCAGTTACACTGAGCCCTGAATCAGTGTGTACAAGAACTCTCCTGGAGAACTCCTGGGTACACATTCCCTGGGTCCAGGGAAGATGTTCTGGGTTCGCTCAGGGTCTTTTTTCTGCCCTGGGAAATACTTTGCTGCCTCATGTTCTGCCCGGGTCTTGCCAGCTCCGTCGATTTACCTGAGTCCCATCTGTGGGCTGTCCTGCTCAGGATGTAGCTCTTCTAGAATTGCCTTCCACTCTGCTTTCTGCAGGGTGTTCATGGTTAAAGCTCTCTCCTCTGTGAGCCCTGAGACAAGGACCACTCTGGTATGCATATTTTGGACAAGCTTTGATTTCCACTCGTTGGAATCTCAGTAGTTGCTATTTGAAAAGCGTTGAAAATGCCTTTTATGTCAGTAGGCACTTTGGCCAAGGCATACGTGACTGGCACCTTTGATGGAACTGAAAAGGAGTTTTCAATCATAACATTAACCTCTGCTGCTTCTTTATTTTCAGCTCACGTGTCTGAAACGACCTTTGGTTGTCATCCATGAACTGTTTGACAAATCTATCATGGATATTTCCTGGTAAGATGGATTCTTGTGCTGCTTAGACTAAAAGAAGGAGAAGCCACATCTTGCAACATGAAGATGTGATGAGAGTCCGCGGCCAGATGTGACAGCTGCGGCAGGCCCCATATCGCTTCAGGAGCAGGCAGTTCTGGACCTGCTCCTGTGTGTCTCTTTGCTATAGCATTCCTTGCTCCTTAGAGGATTTGCCACTAGAAAATGCCTGGGGTTTGAGCAAAGATGAATAATGTGACCCCTACTGGGTTCAACTTCAGTGCTGTTCCCTTCATCTCGTAGCAACCGTTGACAGATTTGAGCTGCTCCACAGGGTTTCCAAAGCTGTCAATCTTGGCCGGAGCAGGCAGCCGTATCTTTCTCCTGTGGGGTAACTGAAGTTGGAATTAACTCAGTGGCAGTGGGTTTCATTAATGGGTTTTTTAATCATTAAATTAACCACATTATCAAGTTGTTGTCACATTATCTTAGGAGACATATATCTTTGCTGTCTCAGTGACTTAGATTTATGTTTTTTTCAAATTAGTTTTGAAATGGTTATAAAAATAAGGTAAATATTCATGTAATTGGTACAAAACATGATGAGGGACACTTTGTGCATATATTTGGAACGAAAGGATTCTCAGCCTTTGAGGTGATTGTCCACCCTAAGCCACAGATCTGCCTAGAGCCCTGCTCCGCTGCCCTCACTTGCCAGTCAGTAAGGCTGGGTGTCCCCCCCCAGCACTTGTTCCCAGGCTGCTGACAGTTGTCTCTTGCAGGACTCTGAATGGGCTGGGCATCCTGGTGTGCTCCATGGACGGCTCTGTGGCATTCCTGGACTTCTCCCAGGATGAGCTTGGAGATCCTCTGAGCGAGGAGGAGAAGGTAGGAGAGCAACCCGTCACCAGCTGCTTGTCCTGGGCTCTGTGGCCCCGCAGGAGTATAGAAGTGGTCCCAGTGCTCGTGACTCACCCTGTAGACTCTACTTGGAGGATGCAGGGACTCACTGCTTTCTAAAGTACTATTGGGTGTGCTTTTTTTATAGACTGCAGTCTTGAGCTCCTTTCTAAAATCGATTACAGTTGACCCTTAGTCAAGAGTTAGAGGTGATGACACACACCCCTGTTGTTGTTGTTATGTGCCGTAGAGTCGCCAGTGACTCATAGTGACCCTATCTATGTACAACCGCTCTAAACCCTGGTCTATTCTGTGCTAATCTCACTGTCTCTGACACATCGACCTCCATTACCCATTACTCCAAGACGCCATTCTACCTTGTCATTGGCACACTGTTGTTACCATGTCCCATCAAGTTGGAACCAATTCATAGCTCACCCTCCAATGGGTTTTCAGAGGCAGTAAACTGCATTAGAGGAGATTGCCCATCTTTGTCCTGTGAAGCAGCTGGTGGATTCGAAGCATGTGCCTTTGGAGGGGTGCTTTAATGGCACAGTCCATAGCAAGTTATGCTATTTCTCTGGAGGTTGGAACCCACTCCATGGGAGAGAGATGGGCAGTCACCTCACGTTATGATTTCCATCCTTAGAGATGCAACAGAGGGTTTCTTCTCATTTGAGTCAAAATGGAAGCCTGTGGAATAGCCTATTTCATTTACCCTTTCCCCAAGTGACAAGCAGTTCTGTGGTTGAGAAAGACTAGAAAAACACTAGAATTTGACCAAATCACATTCTGCCTAGAGATTCAGGAGGTGCATTTGGAAGAGGGGAGCAGGAGCCAGAGTGGCAAGGGAGGGCAGCTTCTGGCCCCATGTAGGCGCTCCACACAGGTCCTACAGGACCAAGCCCCAAGGCAAGGACCACCTTCTCCACCCAACATCCTCCATGAACCACAGTCAGTGCTCCCGGGCAGAATATCACGTTACTCTTGTTGTTATTATGCTGTGAAGTCAAGCACAATGCGGAGTGACCCTGTAAACAACAGATCTGAACCCTGTCCTATCCCATGCCATCCTCATCACCTTTAACACTTGAAGCCATTGCTGCTGTTGCCGTGTCAGTCCAGCTCATTAAGAGTCTTCCTCTGTTTCACTGACCCACCACCTTTCCAAGGATGATGTCCCTTTCTAAGGATTAACCTCTTCCAGCAACATGCCCAAAGTATATGAGATGAATCTTTGCCTCATCACTGCGTTACTCATTTGCATGCCCCTGGTGAGTCTCTACGAGTCTCATTACTGTGGTTTATTGAGGTTGCTGTCTCTACCCTCATAGATTTCCTATGTAGCTTGTTATGGCCCAAGACTAACAAGGCTTGGGAAGGTGAGAGGGAGGAGACTCAGCTGAGACCAATATTTTGTGGTCTGCAGCATGTAGACTTTTAGAGACAACTCTTCGCAACGCCATGGGGACCTGACACTATGTGGGGCTGATGTTTGAAGACTAGAGTAGTGAAAACCAACCCTTAGTTTCAATATAGGTTTTCCAAAGAAAACTGCTTGGAATGATTTAAGAACCTCACATTAGTATCTTAGGGTGCGTTCTCTAGAGAAGTAAAAACCAATTACGCTTATATGTGTACACACACAGGAGAGAGAGACAGACAGAAAAAAATCAGAGGAGATTGCCCATCTTTGTTCTGTGGAGCAGCTGGTGGATTCGAACTACATGCCTTTGGAGGGGTGCTTTAATGGCACCTCATTTCAAGGAAAAGGCTCACATGCCTGTAGGGGCTAACAGGTCCCAAGTCTGTAGATCAGACTTCGAGGGAGGCAGCTAGAGAGGCTAAGACTCCACGTCATTGGCAAGCAGAGTCTCCCACTGCTGGAACCCAAACATTGGCAAGAACAGCTGGCCCTTGACTTGAGTCAAGAGATCATAAGCCCAGTAACCAGGTGTGGATTGGACAAAAGGCTCTCTATCATTTTGTCAGGGAACTCTGGTGCCCTGGTGGTAAGGAGTTGCGCAGCCACACTTAAAAGGTTCAAAACTGCCAGCTGCTCTGTGGAAGAAGGATGGGCAGTCTCCATGTGATTTACAGCCTCTGAAATGACACATGACACCCACCAAGGTCATTTTACCAGTTCCAAACATGGATCCCCTGCTGGCCACACCCATAAGAGGTTCCCCCGTAATCAGATAGGACTAATCAGATGATATCTTTATAGAACTGATTCAAACCTTCCCTCATTAACATCCCACATTTCTGAATCCCTAACATTTCTGAATCCCACAGCTGAAGGCAATGGGGACATTAGGCCACAAGATAGCTTACCCCTGGGTGTGGCACAACTCAAGCCACATGCTGTCCTGAAAGGTTAGAATTTATAACACAGTATTCACTCACCAGGGTGGCTTCCTCGAGGCAAGGATTCTGAGGTTCCATTTAACATACTTTGGACATGTTGTAAGGAGGGACAGGTCCTTGTAGAAGGGCATCATGCTTGGGAGGGTGGGGGGACAGCGCCGGAGGGGAAGGCCCTATACAGTCCACCAACAGAGCTCCCTAACACGCAGTAGAGAGGAATTATACTGAGAGTCATGGTCATGTTGACATGCAGTGTTAGCTGTCATCGTTAGGGACCTGAGCACCCCAATTTCATTTCAGCAGAGGCTTGCTTTCATTTCTTCTGTTTCACACCCTGTGGTAGGTTTTTCCTTTGTCAGTCATTTCCCTCACTTTCATCTCCACTTGTAGAAACACAGTGTAACCATCTAAGGGAGGATCCAACTGGTGCTGAGTTACTCATCAGGAAGGTAGAGGCGGTGGGCTTCTAACCAGAGGGCCCAGGCTAGCAGAGCAGCACACTGGGCCTCTCACCTACCTTGCTGTGTCTCTCTGCTTTCCAGAGCCGCATCCACCAGTCCACCTATGGCAAGAGCTTGGCCATCATGACCGAGGCTCAGCTCTCCACAGCTGTCATCGAGAATCCCGAGATGCTCAAGTACCAGCGGAGACAGCAGCAGCACCTGGATCAAAAGAGTGTCTCAGCCAGAGAAACAGGCTCAACCACTTCTGTTGCAGTTAATGGGGAGAGTCTGGAAGACATCAGAAAGGTGAGGGTTTGGCCTGGTGGCACTGGATGTAGACCGCTGCCCAGGCGTAGGAAAAGGAAGGGACTGGTCAAGGGTACAGGTAGGCAGTGTGTGACACAGGCAATCAGGACAGCATGTGGCTTGAGTTGTGAGGTGTTTCTGTGTTGCACTTGATGGAAGATCCAGGGGTAAGCTATCTTGTGGCCTAATGTCCCCATTGCCTTCAGCTGTGGGATTCAGTAATCCGGCTGGAAATGCCTTTTTCAAAGCTTCCAAATCCAAGAGTGTCCGGAGGAGGCCATTTCCTCTAGAAGCTTCTGAACCGAATCTCCTGGGCTTTGTAAGAAATTCTAGATGCTACGAAGAGTGGGCTCAGGTCTTCCAACTCTGTTAGACGCTGGGCTTCTCTGGAAACCCATGTTTCCCTAGGGAACTCGAGGGGATGGTTGGTGTGTTGTTATCGTCTGGGGAGCTGCAGTCTCTCCAGGAGCTTTTTTAGGTTGATAAACCTCTCCTGAGTGATTCAGACATAATGTGTAATTAAGAACTGTTGTTTCTAAGTCTTAGTGGAGGAAAGGACCCTATGGGTAAAGGAAATTTAAAAATCACTAGTTTGGAGATAAAAGTGCTGCTTTTTGTTTCTGGTGTGTCCACGGAACTCTGTGGCTGTTGGGCAGAAGTGGCCAGCCTGGTTTGGGTTTTCTGCCCTGGGGACCTGGCCAGCCTAGAGGTACTGGTGATGAAGAAGGAGTACTTGAGCCATTTAAGGGCAAACTTCACAGGAAGTTGAGCACAGGCCCTGCTTTTTAAAAGTACTTATTCTTTGATTGGATGGCTTAGTTTAGTTGTCCCAGGAAGGGAAATGAGGATACATTTCCTTAGAGGTCTTTGATTTGTAGCTAGAGTTGACAGAAACCTTCCATTTATTTGTGTCACTCTGTCTTGCCAGAACCTTTTAAAGAAACAAGTTGAGACTCGGACGGCAGATGGTCGGAGAAGAATCACACCTCTCTGCATAGCACAGCTGGACACTGGGTATTTATGCACTTAACAAACTTTCTCTGGCCTTGTCGGGGGAGGTTTTCCTGTCACCTTATGCCATTTAGCACCTTCAGATTCATTTTCTTCACGTGTTCTTGGGCCCTTCTGATCCATAAAACATGAAAGTGAAATCCCACCAGCCTCAAAGACACAGGCTCCTCAGCCTTTATACATGTTGAACTCCTGCTTAAGGATCTATGGAGGAAATCTAAGGCCAAGATGAAAAGAGCAGTGCAGCATGGCCCCAGTCATTGTCATTTAGGCTCCCACAGTGCTCAATTCTATCATGAGAGCACTGGGAGACACTCTAGGCAAAAGTGATCAAGCTCTTTTTTTTTTTTCTTTTCTAATTTTGTGACATCTTCCTGATTAAAAAGGTAATAAATTAATACACCTTGTTGAAAATTTGGAAAATAGTAGAAGCTCAAAGAGGAACATACATATTACCAGTTTTTCTAATATGTTGTTGCTTTTAGGTGATGTCGAGTATGACTCATAGCGACCCTGTGAGCAGAAATCTTAACCCTGTTCTATCCTGTGCCATCCTCACACTTCCTGAGGCACAAGAGCCTGTGTGGTAGACACCATGTCAATCATTATTAATTGTTACCTCCAGTCCTTTTCCCCACTATAAACATTTTTCTGTGGATAGGTCTCAGTGTGAAACAGCTAAACCTGCTTTATTCTAGCTTGATTTTCTTAACCTTTTGCCCATTTTATTAAGCAGTTCTTTAAAGCAAGGGCTTTCTTATAGATCCCCATCCTATAAGTACACCATGATTTATTCAGCAGCCCCTGAACTGTGTGGGCTTACACTTTGTGTCCAGGTTTCATATTATAAAAGACTATTCAAGCACACTTTTCACTGTTCCTCGGGTTACCTCCGTGAAGTGTAGAACATGTTTTCTGCAAGAAGCAGTTGTCGCATTTCATTTACTGTTGTCTTAACCCCTGTAGTAAGGCTTTTGTATCATTGTCTCCAAAATGAGGTATGTTAATTAAAAGTAAGACAGGCATCACATAAAAGAACTAGATCCCCACTATCAGGACCATTCAGCAGTCTCATCATTCAGCTAACTTGGCTTGTGACATTCAGTGTGCTTTGCACAGTTTTTTGTACTGTGGCTTTTCCTACCATGAGTTTTTATGAATCTTTTTAAAATTCAGTGAGTCCTCCAGTCATATTCTGTGTCTGTTACCTCTCCTTATTTTGTGTGGACACTGAAGCCTTCGAAGGTCTAGCTCCAGATTATAGCTCCCCTTGACTGAGTGGCACTAGAATCTGGCCTTCTGTCTCCTTTTGAGAACAGTGATTTCCCTTTGTTCAAGCCTTTTCCCCTTTAGTATCCTCAAGGGTAATTCCATCTGCCTGCCTCTTCTTAAGGCCAAATGAGACCAACTAGGTAAATGTGCTTTGAGTATTGCTTTTCCTGAAGGCATGAGGGTCTTAGAAGTGTTTTCTGCATTTTTCCAACCTTCACTTTATGAAGAGGCAGGGAAGTAAGGGGGCTTCTAATTTGGCTTTTGAGCCAACTTTAGGCCAGAAGTGTAAATCCCTTTTATGTGACAGGCTGTGTTGCCCTTCGTACTGCCTTGGTAAAAACAAGTAGCAACAGAATAGATAAATTGTTAGTTGAGCCAACAAAGAAAAGTAAAAGCATTAATATTCCAGTAGAAGTAACTAGGACTAACCAGAAGTGACCAGATAAAAGATAAACCAAAAAGATAGAAACTTCTTAACTGGAATTTGTGCAAATACATTTGAAAATGGATGATTTTTTTAAGACTATAAAGTCACCAAAATAGAAGGACGATCTGTACAGAATATTCTAGAAGGAATAGAGGGAGGGCGTGTTTAAAAGGTAGTAACTCCACCAAGGCCACTAGGGCCAGAAGCCTTCATCGGGGTGTTGTAACAAAGTTTGTTGGGGTTTTTTAAATTTTATTATTTTTTGTGTGTATATCATCAAATAGAATCTGACTGGTACCAAAGGAGATTGCCCCTCCTTTTCCAGCAGAGCATCTGGTGTATTCGAGCCTCGTACTTCTGGGATTGCAGTGTAGCTTCTTGCCATTAGGCCACCAGAACTCCCAAGTTGCAACAAACTTTTCAAGAACAGATCATACTAGTGCTATCTAAAATGTTCTAATATATGAAAAAGAGGGAAAACTAGACATTCTCTAAGAAATGAACATAATATTTATATAAGAGCCTGGTAACGACTAAACACACAATAAATTTACAATCAGTCTCAGTTCTGAAGTCAGGGTAAAAATCTCAAGTAAATAGTAGAAAATAGCCTTATAGCACAGTAACACATTAGTGCTGTTAAAAGACCAAGGGCCACATGGAGACGGCCATGTCTGACCTTTACCAACTTCACAAAGGGGAACTGCCCCCATCAACAGCATTAACAACACAAAACCAAGTCCCATGATGTCAGACATGTCCCTCATGCTCCCTTACCTTTTTCTACTCATCTCAACACTAATCTTACTGCTTAAGTGGCTCTAAAATTTTCCATGTGATTGCTCACAAATCACACATAGCCATATTGAGGAAATCAAAAGGTCATATAATTCAGGCTCAATAGAACATAACAACAGAATATAGTCCAGATAGCTTCCAAAATGTCCTTGCAAGCACCTCAGCCTAGAGCCTCCCAACTTTAGGCCAGTGTTACAAAGTTCTGCCAAATTTAGCTCTCTCCACTCTGCCCAACTCCCCCCTTGTCCAGCAAACTTGGGCTCTTAGCTTAGCTCTGGTTCTGTCTGTGAGGAGTAGCAGTCAGCTCCATCTCGTGCTTGTCGCTGGTCCTCTGCTTCAGATACTATGGCTGTGGCTCTGGTCCTGAAGGACGAGTTGCATTCTCTTGCTTGCTCCTCCTTGCTGGCAGTAAGGTGTCTTCTAATTTGGCTCATGAGTCTGCTCTACTTAATGTGGATTAGTGAGACTGGCCAATCCCCCTACAAATAGGCTAACACGCCCTATTTGCATATTCCCGCCTATCCAAATACCAGAGTCAAGCAATGCCTAGTAAAGCCACTTTGAATAAACCCTTAAATCTCCACAGTGTAATAGTAATAGTGAAGGATTCTATGAGCAAATTTTTGAATGACATAGAAGGTGTCAAAAAAAGATGGAGGAAGTACAGTCACTTTATCAGAAAGAATATACCAATGTTCAGCCACTTGAGGAGGTGGCATATGATCAAGTCAGGACTATTTCGTGACAGTAAGGAGATTCTAAGTGTGTGTGGGGGGGCAATTTTAATCTAGATACGTCTTGGAAAAATTGCAGCCAGAGTGCTCCGTGGTTGCAAGGATGGCAAAGCTTTGTCACATACTTTGAGCATGTTGCTAGGGAGAGGCTGTTCTTGGAAAGGGATATCATGCTTGGAAAGGTCTGCAAAGGAGAGGAAGACCCTCAGCGAGGTGAATTGCACAGTGACTGCAGCAGTGGGCTCAGATATGTCAGAGATGTTGAGGATGGCGCAGAGTAGGGTTCAGATCTCTTGTACGTTGGGTTACTATGAGTCATACTCAACAGCACTTAACAACATACATTAATAGATCAAAGGAGAGAAAGTTTTAAATCATTTTCTTAAAGGCTCAAAATCATCTTAATAGAATCCAGCAAACACCATTTTTATTTAAAACTCAGTTATCTGATAAGAGTCCCATGACACTCTTCTTTCAGATCAAACTCAGGAATTTAAGGTCTGTACTTGTGACTCACTTTTTCTTAAAGCTTCTAACTCATACAGTTAATCAAGAGAAAGAATAAAGGTATAAAAAATGTATAAATCTAGGAAAACTGGAAGTTGTCAGAAATGACATAGAATACTTGACAATTGATGTTCTCCGAATTAGAAGAAATGGGCTGGTTTAATCTATCTTGACAGTTATATGATCCGCTATTCCCAGAATGACATGGTGGAGAAGAATAGCATCACATTGACTGCCAGAAAGAACATTTCAAGATCTCTTCTGATACACAGTACTATCAGTGCTAGGACAATATCCATATGTCTACAAGGAAGACCAGTTAATGGGACTTATTGTTCATTTGTATGCACCCTCCATTAAAGAAAAGAGGAAGAAATTGGAAGATTTTTACCAACTAAGCATGCAATTGAGAGTCACTGATAATTACTGTTCCTTAAAATGCAAAAGATGGAAGCAAAGAATAATAATTAATTAGTAATTGTAAATATGACCCTAGATACAAGAATACAGGGAGCTCCAGTGACTTAATAGTGAGAAATGATGCTGCTAATCTAACGGTGTCTTGTTTGAATCCACTAATTGCTCTTAAGGAGAAAGATGAGTGGTCTCCTTCCATGTGATCTACCTCCGAAAACCTACTGGGGAGTCAGCTCTGAGTCAGTTCTGACTCAACGGTTGTTATTGTTTGTTGTTATTATGTGCCATCGAGTCGCCTGCAATTTATGGTAACCCAATGCGTAATGGCTCTGAATTCTGCCCTATCCTGAGCCAATCTCATTGTCTCTGACACACCTACCCCGTTACCCTAGTTACTGTGTCAGTCCATGTCATCCAAGGTCTTCCTCTCCGCTGCTCTCCCTCCATCCTTCCAAGGTGGATGGATCCAAGGACTTCACCAAGGACTCAACCCTCCTGGACACATGCCCAAAGTATGTGAAATGGAACTTCACTTTGTCTCCAAGGGGCAGCTTAGTTTCACTCTTTCCAAAACAGACTTGTTTGTTCTCTTGGTGGTCCATGGTATGTTCAAGACTTCTCCAGCACAACAGCTCAAAGACAGCAATTCTGCTTCAGTCATACTTCATCATTGTCCAGCTCTATGATCTATAGCAAGTAATTGTGTCCTGAATTAGACACACTTTAGTCTCTAGACTGACATCATTGCTCTTTAGGATTTTGGAGAGGTCCCTGACAGATTTCCCTAATCCAATTCTTCTTTTGATTTCCTCACTGCTGCTGCCAAGAGTGTTGATTATGTAGCTAAGCAAGCTGAAATTGTTAACAACCTCAATCTTTTCTGCATCTGTTGTGGTGCCACCAATTGGCCCAGTAGTTGAGAATCTTTGTCTTTTTTATGTTGAACTTCAGTCCATATAGAAGACTACAGTCCTTGACCTCTGCAGCGAACAATTCCTCAGTTTTGGCAAGCAAGGTTGTATCATAAGTAAGATGAAACTATTGACAGTTGCACTCTTTTCTCCATCTGTCATGTTGCCTGTCAGTCTAGTGCCCTTTAGGGTGAATATCAAAGAATACTTCTTTTTACATAGTTTACTTCAGCATAAAGAAAACAGAAATTCTCACAGCCAATCTAGTAAGCAACACCTTAATAAATGGGAAGAATTGACGCTATTAGGAATTTTGTTTTACTTAGAACCACAATTAGTACCATGGAAATAATAGTTAAAAAAAATGATGTATCGTTTTGGATGGGTGGGCTCAGAAGAGCTCTTTAAAGTGTTAAGACATGAAGATGTCACCTTGAGGGCTAAGTTGTACCTGATGCAAGCTCCAGTAGTAAAAACTAAAATAAAATATTCTGAACTACCAGAAGACCTAACAAATCTTAGAAGAATTCCAGCTGGAATTCTCCTTAGAAGTGAGGATGAAAAAAACATAGTCTTATGTTCTTTGGACATTTGGGAAGGACTACTGTTGAGACAAGAATGTAAAAGCTTGATAAATGAGAGGGTCACCGTAACAGAATCAGATATGCCCAACTAGGTGGGTTGACACAGTTTCTGCCACAAGGAGGTCACACATAGCAACTGTGATGTGGATGACACACAACCAGGCATATGGACATAGGGTAATGAGTCAGAACTACTCTGGGACGCTTACCAGGAACAGTGCTTTTACCCATGCAGTTAACCAAGCGAAAGAAGAAACATAAAAACTAGAAAGTAGGAGGTAACATCATCTTTCAAAGATCGTATCCTCTATAAGAATATCCATTAATAGCACTTCCTAGACACCATACGATGATAAGACGATGGAACCAACCAACATAATGAGATCAGATGTTCATCAGAGGAGAAAAAGGAATAAATCACACTCAGAAATGGATACTTTTAATGTGACAAAAGCAAGAAAAAAGTTAAACCCTTCGTGAGAGACTTGGAACAGAAAGAAATAACTAAAATTTCATCATCATTTATTAGGTAGGATGGTTCCGTGCCATAAAGAAGCCAAGTCCCCCTTCATCTAACATGAACCAGTACAAAGAAGCACAGAAGTTTTCAGAATAAGATGAGCTGATTCTAAAGTTCATGTGGAAAAAGAAATAATCAGAAATAGCTCAGATATTTCTGGGAAAGATTTGTAAGGGGGAAAATACCCTTTAAGTGTTTCAAACTTAAAACGTTGAAGTACTGACAAAAAGGCAGAGCAACGAAATAACAACGTTTCTGCAAATACCTACAGGAATTTGAACGGTAACATTTGACATCAGTCTTGAACCTTAATGATTTAGTAAATGAAACCAGGACTGGTTTGATAGTTGGGACTGAATAGTTTGATGATTCAGTAAAGGAAATCATTTGCTGGTTCTGTAGTTGGCACTTACTCGTACCTGTAGCCAGTGAGTTGAGTCCAGCTCAGAGTCATCCCATGTGTGTCAGAGAACCGTGCTCCTCACGGTTTTCCGTGAGTGAGCTTTCAGACATAAAGCACCATTTGCTTCCATGATGCCTCAAGATAGACTTGAACCTTTTCATTTAATAGCCAAGTTCATTAACTGCCACCCTGCTTTATAACTTACCAGCTGTTCTTTTTAAAAATTAGGAGATTTTGTGGAAGAATATGGTTTCAAACTTGGATGAAAAATCTTTTCTACAAATGATAGAAAATTCAGACTACTTAGAAATAACATATGTTGGCAAGGAAAAATACACCAGAGACTTAGAATACTCAGTGACTTGGGAAATGGACTTCTTGCTAATTGTTGTTGTGTTCCATTGGATTGGAACTGACCCATAGCTGACCCTCCAGCAGGTTTTCAGAGGCAGTAAGTCTCATGGGAGGAGATTGTGGGTCTTTCTCACGTGGAGCAGCTGGTGGATTCGAACCACATGGCTTTGGGAATTGCAGACAGCTTTTCACCAGTAGGGGAATAGTTGTCTTAATGACGAAAGAGGTACTGCACATTACTCAACAAGAAAGACCCATATCCAATAGAACAGTAGGTAAAGGATAGGGATACTTCACCAGATAGAGGGAAAGAAAATATTTTTTGTGATAAAATTGTGGCCTAGTGGTAGGACACTGCACTGCGATCCCAAAGGCATGCAGCTTTAATGTACCAGGTGCTTCATGGGAGAAGGATGGACATTGTCCTTCCGAATAAAAACCTACTGGAAGGTCAGGTCTGAGTCAGTTCTGACTCAACAACACACAGCACCAACATATAATGAAAGGGTCAGTTTTACAACCAAATAGTTGCAAGTTGGAACCATAATAAGATACCATATTTCACTTGTCAGATTAGTTGACAAATAGCAGGAAATTTGATAAAACTTGGTGAGGGTTTTGGGAAAGTAGGCACCCTCAGACCTGGCTTGTAAATAGGTTAAACTTCTAAGGCTACTTGAAAAATATTTTTCAAAAATCATGAATAAGCATTTCATCTGCTTTATTTCCACTTCAGGGAATTTATCCTGCACACTGTGAATTGACGAGAGTAATCATAGTTATCAAATGTCAGCCATGTTCATGTTCTGAGTCTGTGCTGCTTAGCCCTCAAGGTGATAATAGTGCACGTGGGAATGTGAGGCAACGGATAGGCAAGTGGTAGAGGAATCAGACCTGATGGGTCCTCCCCAAGGCCTCGGTTTTCACACTGTTACAGGAAGTTGGGAGACAGCCACGTCATTCCTCGGTACAGACAGGAATGGTAAACCGTGGTACACCCATACTGTGGGTATGCCATGGAACCATGAACAACGGGGGTCTCACACTGTACTCCGTTCCATTCAGGACATATTTCCGTCAGAATCTAATTGATGGCACTCAGCAGCAGAGACCTGTTTGCACATTTTAACACTTGAATTCAGACGGCATCTTACAATGAATGGCACCTGAAGTAATAGTTACTGTCTTTGTAGCGGAATGTGAACTATTACCCCATCTTACATCTCATCTTGTCTGAGATTCAGTTAAATGTAGTAGAACACGTGGTTTTCATTTTTCTCTACTTCTTTGTGATTTTCCTGATTTTCTGCCATGTACCTATTTCTTTTGTACTTTAAAGAAGGGCAGTGTTGGTTAAAATGCATAACTGCATGTTATGCCTTGTTTTTGAGGCTGACTCTCCTTTTCTTGGTGACAGGGACTTCTCCACAGCATTCTTTAACAGCATCCCACTCTCTGGATCTCTGGCGGGCACTATGCTCTCCTCCAATAACAGTCCGCAGCTACTGCCTCTGGATTCCAGTACCCCCAACTCCTTCGGAACCTCAAAGCCTTCCACAGAGCATGTTTCGGCAGCCGGCTCCAAGCCTGCGGGCGAGTCTGTCAATAAAGACAGGTCAGTGCGTGGGAGAAGTTTGGGTCTGGTCCTAGTTCCATGCACAGAGAGTTTAATCCTACTTACACTTTGTACTTTTCAAGAGTTGTATTCATTCAAAGAGCCAGTGTCTTTACTGACTGTTACCTGGAAACCAAATTAAAAGTCAGAAAGAGCTAGGTGAACATGAGTAAGAGATTCCTCATCAGGTGTTTGCCCAGTGTTTGCTCTGGGTGATGCACTGAGCTCTGGCCAGGGTGATTTATTGGTGCTTGTCACCAGCTGATATATAGGCAAGTAGGAGTAGAGGCAGCCCAGGGTTGTGGAAATAGCTGGGAAGAGGTAGCTGACCATCTTAGGAAGGCTTCTCACGGGGATGTCCTGCCCAATGGTGATACAAGGAAATCAGAGGGTGGGAATACAGAAAGGGAGTAGGGACAGCAGCTGGAGCAGAGCCCCTAAGTAACAAGAAAAGGGGAAGATTAGTCTTCTGGGCTGAACCAAGACCTCTGTTCTTTCTCCTCTAGACACAAAGAGCCTTTGCGACTTGAATTTTAGTAAGCAAACAGTGGTACTCAGATCTTGCCATCACCCTACACCCAACACAAAGTATCACAGCAAGTGTTCATTGATGAGGAATCTTGTGGCCTCTTGATTCGGGGGTCTGATTTTATGGCTGGGGAGGCTTACATCAAGGGTCCAGCTCTAAGGAAAGCATGAGGACAGACTAGAAGAGGGAGGGACAAGGCTGGGAAGCAAATCATTGGGAAGGGAGGACAGACGTAGGCTTGGTGTGGGTCCTAGAAAGGCAGACAGTCCAAACCTGGAAAATGTCTTATTGACTTATCCTCACATAACTTGTTAGTCACAGAGGCCTTTTCAGTGTCAGCCACGCAGGTGGCTGATGGAGGTGGACGCACAGCATGCTGGGCTCTGTGTGGGGCAGACTCGGGCATGGAGAGAAAGACGAGCTGCTGCCTGGGAGTTCTGTGTTGTCGCAGTGAAAGATGGGAGGGGTTGTCTGGGCAGCAGGAACTTGATTGAGAGTGAAGGCTGAGGGGAAGCAATGCCTTCAAGACCCACAGTAGGATTTTCTTGGTAGACTCAGTGTGGAAGCAAGCCATAATGGTTTGGGTGGATATGTGGTATTCAGTTCATAAAGATGGGCCATATGGTTAAAGAGAAGACTTTGAGGGTTACTTGCAGGACCACATGCCGCCCCACCAGCTTGTAAACAATGCATAGGGACAAACATGAATGCATTGCATGTGACCACCAAGTGGCCAAGCTGCCAGACCCTGAACACAGGAAAATGGTAAAGTCAAGAATGGTAGATTGGTTTGTGCTTCAGCTCTGGTGGCCTAGTGGCAAGAAGCTGCACTGCAATCCCAAAAGCACATGGTTTGAGACCACCCGCTGCTCTGCAGGAAGAGGATGGACACTCTCCTTCTGTGCAATTAACTGCCTCTAAAATCCCACTGGAGGGTCAGCGGTGGGTCGGTTCTACTTACTGGTACACAACAAAAAAGAGGGAAAAAAAATATGAATGGTAGATTATGCCTAGAAACTTTTTGTTTTAAGTTTGACCTCCCTACTCCTTCTCCATGCCTCCAAGTTATGCCAAATCAGACTCTTCCCCTCCTTGATGATGCCTGCTTCATGTGCTCTCTCCTCTTGCCCCCATCTCTCCAGTGTGACTGCTACCTCTGCTCCCGCTGCAACGTCTCCCTCTGTGCTAACCACCCCGTCCAAGATTGAACCCATGAAAGCATTTGACTCCCGATTCACAGAGCGATCCAAAGCCACATCAGGTGCTCCTGTCTTGACCAGTGTGACACCACCAGCTATTGAAAGGTAAGTGGGATCACAGATCACAGAAGGTACAAATGTGGAATCAGCATTGCAGGTCTGCTGCCCCCCCGCCCCCAAGGGAAGCCCGCTTCTGTCATTCCAGGCATGAGGGCTCCTATTGAGCCACAGTTGGGGGCTGTGTAAAGAAGGAGGAGTCACGGGGAGGGCACAGGGCTGTCGTGCACAGAGGAATTTGATGCTTTAAACAGAACCCAGGGTTTACCAAGCAGAGCAAGAGAATGCTTGGAGAGATCTGTGGTGCTGGTAATGTGCTGTGGAAATAGTGGGCTGCTCAGGATCTAGGTAGATGTGATAAAAGTGCCATAGCGGGAGGCCTTTGTGAAGTCTGATGGGTTTCTGAGTTGCCAGCTCTCCATCCAGCCTCTGTGCCTGCTGAGGTAGACACTAGCCAGGCCCTGTGGGACATGGTTCTTTTTTTTTCTTCAGGTTTCAGGAGATCTTCCTTCTGAGGTGACTAGAATGATTGTATTTAGTCTCTCCCATCAGAAAGTGTCCTCCAGGCACCCAGCTTTTCTACCTCCAGCTAGGTTTTAACCTGTCAGGCCTCCAGAGGGGCTCACCTTGTGTCTAAGGAGTTAGGAGCTAGGTCAAGAAAGAAGCGGATCTGGCTGCCTTCCCCTAGGATCCTGGCTGGCATCCTAAGTGCTGCCCTCTTGTGGTTGCAGGGTGACTAGGACCCACTTCTATGGATTTCTCTCCTGTTAAGTCTGGAGAAGCAATTGTGTGTCTGTTCTTGTCTTCTTTGCTCTGTTCCATTGATCTATTTATCTCTTTTTCCTCTCAACACTACATTGTCAGTCATAACATAACAAATCATAACCAACTATGGCTAACACTAAGAAAAATGGGAATTCCAAAACGTAATTGTATTCACGTGAAACATGTACCTAGATCAAGAAGTTGATGATATCCCAATATTTCTCAATGCATTTGTTTGTTAATGGGTATTTGGACTGTTTCATTTTATCCTTATTTCATTAGTATTTGTTCTCCTGGATGACTTGTAAGCTTCTTGAGTCTGTGGTTTGGAATGGCTCATTAGAAAATTCTCAGCCATATTGGTCCAATAAATTTTCTGGCTCTTTCTTCTCATTCTTCTGGTGATAGTTCCATTATTCATATTGTTAAAATCATTTATGTTTGTCCAGTAGTGCTTGGATATTCAATTGATTTTTTTTCCCTTCTGTTGCTTCTTACATTGTGGTTTAGGAAGATTCCCCCCCTCCCCCGCCCCTTCAAGCCCACTGAGACTTACTTTGGCTGTATCTAATCTACCAATGAGTCCATCAAAAGAATTATTTTGTGTTGCAGCATTTTTATTCCTGCCTTTTCTTTTTTTGTTCCTTCTTCACTGAGACTCTCATTGCTGTAGAGTAGGAACTGACTCATAGCTGACCCTCCACTATGTTTTCAGAGGCTATAAATCTTTTTTTTCTAATCATAGTTTTGCTCCTTTTATTTAGGCTTTCACCAATGAAAAGGCTTGAGCATAAAGGAGATTTAATTTGTGAGCTTATTTATTTGCCACACATAGAAAATTCTGTTTCTGACTGGATTCGGATTTGGAGGTAGAAGCTCTCAGAGAGGACAGCCTCCACCTCTTGATGATCTGCTCCTGGCGTTTTGTCTTTGGCCTCCTTCATTCTCTTGGCCAAAAGCTTAGTGTACCCTGCAGCCTCCTCTTCATTCTTCTTGGTGCGCTTTTTCTTTAGCGAAATGTGCCGGTGCTTGTGCTCCAGGACATATGGACTAACAAGACCCTGGAACTTGGGTGCTTTGGTCCTGGATTTCTTGCCTTCTTTGTTCATTGGCTTTCTCACAACATATTGACGGTTATCCTCTTCCTTGGAGAGATTGAAGAGTTTGCAAATTCTGCTGGCTCTCTCGGGCTCCAGGCGAGTAGGCACAGTGCTATCAGTCAGTCCTGGAATAGCCTTCTCCTCTTTCTTGACAATAACCAAGTTGAGAACACTTGGATTGGCATCCACAATGCAGCCCCAGACAGATTTGCACTTCCTCTCTCCAGTTCTCTGTGGTCTGTAACAAGAGTACCCCTTACTCAGCAGCCTGTCAACTCAGCCATGGATCAAAACACCCTGCTTCATGGGAAGACCTTGCTTGTCATTCCCACCCCTGATCTGGACAACATATCTCTTCCACTCGTCACCTAGAGAGTCGGCAGCTTCTGTGGCCATTCGCTTCTCATAAAAAGTACAAAGTTTGTGTTCATCGTCCACTTAAATGATTTTTTGACAGCCAGTGCCTGGGAAAGAGATGTTCAGCTTCAGGTGAAGCTAGGCTATAAATTTTATGAGATACCAGTGCCCTTCTTTTCCCAGAGGACCAGATGATAGATTTGAACCACATGCCTTTGGGTTAGCAGTGCAACTCCTTGCCCACTTGGCCATCAGAGCTCACATTTTCCTGCTTACCAGTACCCACTTGTGTTTGCTTGTTCTCCACTTTTTCCAGTCATCTCTTCATGTATTCATCAGAGTTGTTTTAAATTCCTCTTCTCCTGGTTCCAATATGTGGCGTAGCTGGGTTTAAGTCTAGCTTTGTCTCCTTACACTTTGCTTTTTTGTTTTTATGTTTGTGGCCTTGTAAATTTTTTTGCACATAGGCAGGCATAATGTGTTGAATTGAGAGAACTAGGTCTTTAATTGAGGTTTTATATTTCTCTACCTTGGAGTTCAGCTGTGATTTCTCTTGGTTGTAAGCTTCGAGTGTCAGAGGGCTTTAGTTTCCTTTGGTGTCTTGATTTTTGTCCCTTTTTAAAAATTTGTCTTTGACTTAAGGGATCTCTGGTGGTGTAGTCAGTAGGGCGTTGCGCTGTTAACCCAAAAAGTGATGCCTCTCTGGAAGTTCAAATCCTTCCAAGGAGCCATGAGAGAAAGACATATTTTGTACATGTATTTTACAGCCTCTAGGAGACCTGCTGGAGAATCAGCTATGAATCACTTCCAGCTTGATAACAATGAATTTAGTTGCTTGTCTTTGAGTTTTCTAGAAACAACTTCTTTTGTAGAGTCCGTGTGTTACTTCTTTGAATTACCCATTGTTCTCTGTTATTGTACTAGACGCTGGTTGATGTGGTAGTGAAGTTGTAGGATAGTGAGACTCTTAAATCCTTGTTTTACTGATAGGTTGAAGTCCCGTCAGAAGAGTTTCTTAGCCATTTTCCCCCCTTATGTGAGCAAGGAAGGCTCGGGCTGTGTAAGTCAGCTAATGGCATTTTCCCAAGGACACCTCAGGCTCTGATAAAGCAGTGTCCTTGAGAGGATGCTCCTTGTTAGGGAGAGCAGAACACTGGCTATAACTCAAGATTGTTCTTTCTTCTTTCCCCTCACTGGGTTTCCCATCTCCCCCTTTACTAAAGAGGACCTGATAAGATTGCCTGGAGGTAAAACTCGTGAAAGTGTAGGGATGTGCAAAGTGGGCTCCCAGGAGCTGTAATGCTCTGAGTGTGGACTTGGCCTCCGGCAGTTCCACAGCTATGATTCAAGTGTTTCTACTGATTACTGGTTCCCGGTGCTCTTCTGTTCCAGATGCCTCTCTGAAGTCTCCATTTATAAGGGACTGTGATTTGCCCTATAATGAAAGTTCTTAGAAGGTCTAAGAAGAGTTGTTGATTTTTTTGTTTTTCTCTTGTTTCAAAGAGGAAATGATGACACCTGAGCTCTTTACATTTAAAAGACAAGTGCCTCCTCTGTTTTTTAATCAGTGTTTGCGGCTGTCGTCATGTTTGTTGCTGTTGTCCATTGCTAAGTTCCTGGCAGCCACGTACATGTACAGTACCTCCTTCAGGCTCTACAAGGCCTTTTGGGAGCAGCTCATAAGACAGATGCCTCAAACCACTAACCTTTGGGCTAATAGTTACTCATTTTACTGTCTAAGCTGCCTAGGGAGGCCTGTTTTGGGATAACTGTTGATATTTTTCTTTTTATAAATGCGAGTATACAATCAGTAGCTCTAAGGAAAGACCTAAGAGTGACTCTGTTTTCCAGGTTGAAAGAGCAAAACCTGGTGAAAGAATTAAGGCCTCGGGACATTCTAGAGAGCAGCAGTGACAGCGACGAGAAGGTTCCTGTGGCCAAGCCTTCTTCCCTTTCCAAGAGGAAACTTGAGCTGGAAGCAGAGACGGTGGAGAAGAAGAAGAAAGGGCGGCCTCGGAAGGATTCCCGTCTCATGCCTGTGTCTCTCTCTGTCCAGGTGCGGCTCAGCCTCGAGCCCTGCCTTCTCCACCTGCCCCACTAGGCTCCGCAGTTGAGCCTGAACGTACTCAGAGCAGGAGAGGGGGGTCTAGACATGTGTCCCTTCAGTGTGGGCCACCTTGGGAAGCAGCCAGCTTAGTCCTGCTGTGGGCCTGTCCAGGAACCTTGCACAAGTTCCAGGCTCCAGGATAGCAAGGTTCCCTTTATCGTCTATTTATACTTCTTCTCTCCCTCAGAGCAAATCAGAGTGCACTAGTAGCAGGCCTAGCTGCCTGTCTGGGCAACTTAACTTTAGCTAAAGCTTGCCCTGTCCTGTGATGGTGGGGGAGCTCATGGACCCTTTTGGCTCTTGCAGTCTCCAGCTTCCCTGACTGCAGAGAAGGATGCCTTGTGTTTGTCTGCACCAGCACTTGCACTGAAGCTGCCGATTCCAGGCCCACAGCGAGCCTTCACCCTCCAGGTGAGCACCATTAACTGTCACTCTTCAAGGTACTGTTTTTTAGTGGCTCTTCCATCACCACCTGGAGGAGATGTAGCTGACCAGAACAACCACCAAGCATTAGCAGGATGCCTAGTGTTTTCCCAGAAGCCCCTTTGCTCAGCCCCTCCCCAAAGTATCATTCTCTAATTTTGCCCTAAAAGGTCCCAACTTCAGGGCTTCATCCACACTCCTTCTTTTAGATGCTTAGCTCCTGTTTTCTTCTAAGACTCAAGTGCCCCCTTTTCTGGAAGGTTCCTCTGATGTCCACACTCTTTGGGGGCAGCCTTGGACTATAGCTTAGTGTTCTGTTTTAATTACTAGTCCCTGACGTCATCTGCTTCTCACTGACTAGCAAGGAGGCAACCTCAGGGCTACTTGAGTTTTCGAGATAGAAGCATATACCCAGGCGCCTCTGCAGAGTTCTGGAGCAGACGTAGTTAAGAAGCAGAGACCCTTCAGTTCCCACAGGCTGACACCACAGCTCAGGCCTTTCATACCAGCCTAGCATTGCAGACGCCATCACCTCTGTATGTATTCTTCCTACCTTAGCTCAGGTGTGAAGCATTCTTGCATTGCCTTGTGGCCCATACGTCTAGAGCAGTGATCACCAGCATCCCACGGTGACCCCAGGCATGCCTCACAGGACACCAGAGAGCAGGCGTTGATCCTTCCCAGCCACCATCTCTTTGGGCCCAGGTTCACAGATCGTAAATGGGTGGCCTCAATGGCTAGGAACCCACATGATTTGTTCTTGTTGCCAGTGTGCATAGGGGCAGGGGACACCACAGTAGTCCGCAGGGTTTATATGTTCTCATTAGTCACAGATCCCGTTGCTCTGTTCTTCGCTAAATGATGTGAGTGAAGGGAACCTTTCCACTGCATTCTTGGAAGGTCCTGCAGATCTGTGGCAGGGAACTCGGGAGGGTGATAGTATTCATTCTTGGGTGGCAGCTTTGCTGTAGAACATTATGTTGTGCTCTGGGTAAAAATGCAAAGAGCAAATACGTTTCCTAATCGATAATTTACACATAGGTTGTTTCATGACATTAATTTCATTTCCCTCCATGTAACAACATTCTTCCCACGTCCTCCCAGAGTTCCCCGTTTGCTTTCACCCATCTATTCTGCTCCCTTCTGCCTTCTGAACTTTGGTTTGGCACAAATACTATCCTTTGTTCTCATATAGCTAGTTGATTATGAGGTGAATATTCCTCACATAAGCCTTATTGTCCATTTTGTGCTCACTCTCATTGCTCCTGAGTCGGAACTGACTCAGAGCCGGCCGTCTCACGGGATTTCAGAGGCAGTAAATCTCACGGGGGGAGGTTGCCCGTCTTTCTCCCACAGAGTAGCTGGTGGCTTCCAAACATAGTCCTTGGGGTTCTCAGTGCAACTGGTCTCCTACTACGCCTTGGTATTTTTGTGATTGATTTATTTAAAATTAGCCCATAGTTTCAGTATTTCTCAAATCATCCTCATATCTCTATTCCTAATTTTTTTTTTATTTTATTGGGAAAAACATATTGGGGGTACAAGGAGGCGAGGGTTGGGGGCAGAAGGGTGAGGATGTATTCCTGATTTTTTAAAAAAAATTTTAAATATAGGGGAGCTCTGGTGGCCTAGTGGCAAGAAGCTGCAGCTACAATCCCAGAGATGCATGGTTCGAATCCACCAGATGCTCTGCCGGGGAAGGAGGGGCAATCTCCTCCTGTACCAGTCAGATCTGATTTGACGGTACACGCACACAAAAATAATAAAATTAAAAAAAAATTTTTTAAATAGTTTTTAAAAATTTATTCATTGTTGCATTTTCTCTTCCCTCTCCCTCCCCCTGCCCTAGCCCACCCTGCAGTGCACCCCTTGTTCCAGATTATTCTCATGCATATACTACACAGTCATACTCCTTTCAAATAGTTCTTCCCCACATCTGTCCTAATGAGTGTCCATGATTCCTGGTTTTTAAAAATTTTATTTTATTAATTTTAATGAACATTTACAGAGATTTTGGATTTTCATTCATTCATTGTTGCTATTCCTGATTTTTATGATAGCACCAATCAGTGCCATTTTACAATCCTACTAGCCACCTGTGAGAGTTCTCTTACCCCACACCACTATCAGCATTTGTTGTTTTCTCGTTTTCTTGATCATGCTTTAAGACCCTCAGCAAGATGGGTTGACACCGTGTAGTAACAATGGGCTCAAACCTGTCAGAGATAGTTTGATAGAGGATGGCACAGGATAAGGCAGGATCCAGACCCATTGTTCATGGGGTCATTGTGAGCTGTAGTAGCCTCAATGGCACTTAACAACAATGTTGTTATTATTACTGCCAGGTTGAGATGATATGTCATTGTCTAGATTTGCATCATTTCAATGGAATTGCACTTAATGTGTCAGGCTGCTAACCAAAAGGCTGGAAGTTTGAATCCACCAGCCTCTCGTCAGGATAAAGCTGAGTGAAGGGCCTCTCCACTAAAGATGTGCAATGTCGGAAACGTGGAGAGTCACCAGGAGTCGGCACCAACCTGATGACCTTGCTTCAGCAATTGGGCAGCGACTCATGAGTGTGCGCTTCTCTCCGTGTATTTGCTGGCTTTTTTGATGAAGTGACTGTTCATGTTTTCTGCCAGTTTTAAAATTTGTTTGTCTTTTTGTCATGGAAAAGTTGATGTTTTCTAAAATTTTCTAAAAATTTTCAAGTTTAGACCCTTATCTGATGTATCATTGCCATTTTGTGTTTTTTTTTTTCTCAGACTAAGTTCTCATTGTTCTGTTTTGGTGAAGTCTTTCATTACATACAAGTGCTTAATATTTCAGAGGTCTTGGTTCTTGATTCCGTTCTGTTGGTCCACATGTTTATCTCTGTACCAGCACTAGGCAATTTGGCTACTGTGATTACATAGTAAGTTCTCCAAACAATAAGTGTGAGGTCTACTGTTGTTTTTCCATGCCCAAAGCATGTGAGACGGAGTTTCAAAATCCTTGCCTCCAAGGAGAAATTTGGATTCCCCCTCTCCAAGACAGACCTGGTTATTCTCTTGATGGTCCATAGTGTATGTTCTTCAGCACCACAACTCAAAGGCTTTAATTTTTCTTCTGTCATCTTTAGTCCTTGTCCAGCTCTCTGATGCATAGCAAGCAATTGAGAAGACCCTGGCCAGGATCAGGCACACCTTAGTCTCTAGACTGACATTATTGCTCTTTAGCACTTGGGAGAGGTCTCTGATACCAGACTTCCCCAATGCTATTCATCTTTTGATTGCCTGACTTCTGGTGCCAAGAAAGTTGATTGCAGAGCCAAGCAAGCTGAAATTGTTAACAACCTTAATATCGTCTCCATCTGACATGGTACTGCCAATTCTTGATGTTGAACTTCGATCCATATTGAAGACTATAGTCCCTGACCTTCTGCCTCAAACACTTCAGGTTTTCCTCAGTTTTAACAAGCAAAGTTGTGTCATCTGCATAACACAGGTAGTTGATGATTTCCTCCGATCCTGATGCCACATTCCTCCTCATAAAGTCCATCCTCCCAAATGATCTGTTCCACATACAGATTCATTGTCTAACTTTCAAATGCATAGGAACCAATTGAAAAGACATGGCTTGGTTCAGGTACACCAGTCTTTAAACTGGCATCCTTACGGTAGATTTTCCTAGTGGACCATGTCTTAATTTCTTATCTGCTGTTGCCATGGGTTTTAATTGATCACCACTTTTAGGAATGGGAACAAATCCACATTTCTTCCAGTCGGTTGGCCAACTAGCTGTCCAAGTAAAATGTAATAATTGACAATTTCAGTCCTTTCTCCATCTATTATGACATTGCCTATCAATCCAGAGATGAGGAATTTTTTTTCTTAGTGTTGATGTATAACTCATATTGAAGCCTATAGTCTTTGATCTTCTATTGTAATTGCGTTAAGTCTTCATCCTTTTTAGCAATCAAGGTTGTATCATGTGTACAGTACAGGTTGTGCGTAAGTCTTGCTCCAGTCATGATGCTGCATTCTTCTTCCTGTGGTCTAGCTGCTCTGATGATCTGGTCAGCATTCAGACAGAATAGTATGGAGGAAGAAACAGTTCTGATTTTAAACCATGTTGCTGCTGGTCAGCGTGAGTGTGCGGAGTGGAGGAGCGTGCCCCTCTGGTCCTTGGACAAGGCTCTACTTGTTGGAACAGCCAGCTGTTGGGGCCTAACTCCACTCCAGTTATGTCTGGACGTTGATTCCGTGCCCTGGTGGGAGTTCCATGAAGTTGATTGCCGTGTTCCTCATTTGAGATTGCCCTTGTCTTGTTTCAGTATGCCCACACTGTACCAGGATGGCAGCCTCTCCATTGTCTCTCTTCGTTCACTCTTTACAGTCGGGTTTTTGTTTTTTCTTACAGTCAGTGCTTCATCTTGGGTTATTGTTGGGTTTTTGTTTCCTCTTTACTCTGAGAGAGTTATAAGAGTGTCTTCTACAACTATTTTAATTGGTTTGTTGGGTTTTTGCTTTAGAGGCACAGCATGGTGTGTCTGGCTACACCACCACTTTAGCTAGCAGCCCTACTGTGTATATCCTTGAGCAAGTCACTTAACTTTTCTGAAACCTACGTTCTCACCTGTAAAATGAGGTGAGATTGGATTAAGAGACATTTGGCATCTTAAAATTCTGATGCTGATTCTCTTTGGCCGTTCACGCACGTGGATGAATTGGCAGGGACCAGTTGCCATTAGTTTCTTCACCCAGGGGAACCACGGGTCCGGACCTCTGCCCCTCCTGTCCATGCTAGTTACTCTCCTCCTTCCATCAGCCCCCCATCCTGGCTAGTCAACTGTGTGTCTCCATCTTCCACCTGCTTCAGGTCCTGACTCCCAAGTCAGCACCTGTGTGGGTTCACTGCCACTTAGAAGACCTTAGTGTTCACGTTCCTCCCTCCAGGTGAGCTCCGACCCCTCTATGTACATTGAGGTGGAGAATGAAGTGACAGCCGTAGGAGGTGTGAAGCTGAGCCGCTTGAAGTGTAACCGGGAAGGGAAGGAGTGGGAGACGGTGCTCACCAGCCGGATTCTCACTGCTGCTGGCAGCTGGTAAGGACGGAGGGACCTTGGCACAGCTTTTTTGTCGTGCTGTGCTGCATGGCACTGTTCTGTCCTGGGGGAAGGTGCTCCACACATGCTAACTCCCGCAAAGAATTCATGCCAGCTGTGCTCCAGGCCATGTTGTACATTTGTCACTTTGTCTCCACCCAGTGTCCAATCAAGTTGGCATTATTATCCCCATGTTACAGATGAGGAGACTGAGATCGTCACTCAAGCCAGGATTTGAAACTAGGTCATCTGATCCTATGACTGCACTAGATACCTAGTGTCTTGGGTGGAAGCCTGAACTCTCCTTAGCTCCCTGGCCCTAGATATTTATCCACTGTGGTTGAGTGGGTTTCTGACTGTCTCCCAAACTATTGATGACCGTCTGGACTTTGACAGGAGAGTTGCTTCTGCCCTGTGCCTCCTTTAGGTCCAGAGTTTGCATCACTCTCTCTGAAAGTGGCCTGGTTAAGAACAGTGTATTGGATTTTCTTTGAAAGATTTGACCAAAAAAAAAGAAAGATTTGACAAAAATAGTTGGTTTAGGTAAATTCATTTTAATTGATCCTTTTATCTTTTTTAATGGGTTTATAGGTAAGATGCTTTTATAAGTATCTACAAACACTTGCTTTGCCTTATCTTTCCAAATCAGGGTTCCCATTGGCACTCAGTGAGTTCATGGTCTCAGGCTAGAAGAAGCCCTCTACTCTGTGCCTCCCTCATTTTTTCCCTTCAGGAGAGGTTTGTCATGGACAGAGGTTTATATGTCAGATGCTGCTATTGCCCACCCTCCCCACCTTTACCTCTGGTCCAGGGCAGGTGGTGCGTATCAACTGGGAGTAACGGATGTCACTGTGGCCTCCTGTACGGAAACTCAGTAGCTTTTGAGTTGGGCGGCCAGTGTGAGGACCTGTACAGTCCTACTCGGTGCAGTCAGTTTGCAGACCCACTCCCTGGCGCTGCAGCGTCAGAGTGGTGACTTTCTTTGCTATGGGCTAGGTCAGGAGGTTCCATCTCTTTGAGAATTGCAGACTGAGGTCGATCACCTTCCCATGACAATGAAATTCTCTACTGCCAGGTGACGTTCAAAGGTTTTTTCACTCATATTCTCAGAATACACTTGTGAAGAGAAACCTTCCATTTGCCCCTCCCTTTTCAGAGCCCTGATAACCGTGGTGTCTCTGCAGCAGATAGATGGATGGCAGCTTCACAGCAGACTTCCATCCTTCTGTTCTGGGTGGGAGAGCATCTGTTGTGCCGACCACACAGGCAGAGTAGCATTAGGAGGGGGAGAGATCAAGGTGGTCTCCTGGGACCAGGATCTCACAGGACTGGAACCATTTCTTGCTCCAGTTGCCCCAGGTCTGAGGCTCCAGCTTCACTGTAGGCCTGTAGCTGTCATTGGGAAGGAACCACCCTGCCTGAATTCAGGCACCTCCACGGGGCCTGCAGTTTCTTGGAGGCATTGAACAGTGTCTAAACCTGTGCTGTCTTACGGAGCCTGCCTTCCTTGGGGAGCTGCACACTGTTCCTACCCTAGATTGTAAAAGTCTTCTGAGTGCTCTGTTGTGGATGCCCCTGTCGTTCAGGCACTTTCCTAGCCTGTCTGCCAGACATCTTCTCAGGACTGGTTTGACTAGTTGAACGCAGGAGTCCATCATGTGAGTGTCCTGCGTGGCTCATTTGATGGCTAAGACACATTTCCTGGGTAAGCATCAGATGCAGTTGCCTTGTAAAGCATGCTTGCCCTAAGTCAGAGCCGCTGTCACTTCAGAGCTTGAGCAGGAGTGGTGGACGGGGGACAGATGACTGCATTCTCTTAATGAGACATTTCAGTAAGGTTCCTGTCAGCCCTCCCATCTCCAGTCCTGAGAAGCCTCAGTCCTCATGGCTTTTCCCTCAAGCTCAGGGGAAGGCTAGGCTACTAACAGCTCTTCCTGGTGGTCTCGGGCTGTCAGGGCTGTTGGGCCTGCTGCCCCTCTTGGACCCAGTCAGTGATGCTCATCTCTCTCCTTCCTTTCCAGTGAGGTGGTGTGTGTCGCCTGTGAAAAGAGGATGCTATCAGTGTTCTCCACCTGTGGCCGCCGGCTCCTTCCTCCTATCCTCCTGCCGTCCCCAATCTCCACTTTGCACTGTACAGGCTCCTACGTCATGGCCCTCACCGCTGCAGCCACGCTGTCTGTCTGGTGAGTGGGCAAGCACAGGTTGGGTTGGGGTCCAGGTGGGGCAGGACAGTAGAGGTTTTACCTGTTCCCACCTTCTTACTGCAGGGAAGCCCCTGGCATGCCCTCAGGCCCTTCTGGCTTATTGGGCTTAATTCTCAGGAGGAGGCCCTGAAAATCAGATACCATGATCTTTACCCTGATGCTCTGTGAGGCATTTTGGGGGTGGCTGGAGTTGGGGTAGCTATCACAGAAAAAAATGAGGCCTCATAGACAAAAGCAAACCACATGAGAGGTCACTGTGTCTGATCAAATGTGCAGGTCATCTGGGGTCCATCAGAAGCAGCTTCTCAGCTGGCAGAGTGTAGCTGTGGTTCTGAGGCTGCGGTGGTCTGGCTTATTCCAGAGCACGCAGAACTGACAACAGCAGTGACGTTGGGTCTCTGGAGCCAGAATCTTCTGCTGTAGGCCTCTACAGAGGAACATATTTGTGCATGGGGAACAGATCCCACTGCAAGGCAGAGCTCCTCTCCTTGGGGAGACTATAGCTGAGAGCTACACTTTGGAAGTTTGGCTGGCAGTGAGATTAGCGCCCTTACATGCTTTGATGCATTTCCCAAGGATGGAGTAAGGTGTATTCTTTCTCTTCCTAGGGATGTTAACAAACAGGTGGTGGTGGTAAAAGAAGAGTCTCTACACTCCATCTTGGCAGGTAAACGGGGAGTGGGTTCTTACTGGGCAGGGCAGCTTGAGCCTCAGGTCTTTTGTGGGAGATGTGACATGGCAGAGGAGACGTTATGTCTGGTGGGGCACATTTGAGTGGTGACAGAGAGCTTGGTGGGTGATAGCGAGGGTGGCGCATACAAATCATAGAGCAGCCCTCGGGTTTCAGCGTCAGTATTGAGAAACCTGATGCTGAGGCCTCGGGAACTTGGGTTTGGATTTATTTTTGGGTTCAGAAGTAAGCACCTGGCCCCCACTCCTGTGCTGTCCCCTAGGAAGTGATATGACGGTGTCACAAATCTTGCTGACCCAGCATGGAATCCCAGTGATGAACCTGTCCGATGGGAAGGCATACTGCTTTAATCCCTCTCTTTCTACGTGGTAAGCAAGCTGCCCGCCTGGCAATACACCGCCTGTATTCCCCTCCACCCCCAGGAGAAGAGCAGTGTGCTTCGCGACCACGGCAGTGAGCAAAGGCCCGGGTCCTGGCAGCCTACTGACTTGACTGACCTTCTCTGTCTCTTGCGCACGGGGCCCTTGCTTGGCTCTGTCTCCTGGAGAAGATCCAGCTCAGACTTGCCAGGAGATGTCCTCTTTCCCCATGACTTTGCTTCTCTGCCCTTAGAGCATGTCCATAAACGATATTCCCTGCTTTGTGTCCTGGGATCACTTTATTGTAAAATAGGCATGTGGACTTTTCAGACCGACCTTCACGACCATCAGCAGCGAAGGAGAATTGAGACCACACTATTTTATACTTTTTTATTTCTTTCTTGAACTGTAGAGGGTAAGGAGGAAGCCCAAACAAAAAGCAGACACAGCCTTCCCCAGCTCCTCTCTCTCTCTTGCCCTTTTTCATTTGCCTACTATGTGCTCACGTAAAAAACATGCATGCACACGTATTTAGCGCAATGCCTACAGGAACCTAATTTGAGAGAATTTCTCTGCCAAAAAAAGACTAGAACCCCTGTCCTATTTGTGTAATAGTAGAGTATATGTATTAACTGTAATGGAAGAAAACGTATTAAGAATGCAGTATAGACTCTTTATTGTCATTTATATATTTGAAGAGACACCTGATTTTTTAAAAGATTTTGAAAGTAGACCTGTGAAAAGGTATAAAGATATGAAGGGTGCAGAGTGGATGCAAGAACTGATGGCATGGAGCCTTGGCAGAAACATGAAAAGATGCCCGACTTCGTGTTCTTTGGCAGCTAGTAAGGTTCGGGGTCCCTGATTGAGTTGTGTCTAATACATGCGGGCACCTGTGGTCATCCGGAACTGAGATGAGAGAGCTGAATTGTTCACCCCCAGAGCCTTATCAGCCACCCTCATCTTTATCAGTTTCTCCTTGGAGACAGTAACGCTCCATGCTTATTTGATGCACAAGGTGTTTATCCATCTTGAGTGGCGGTCAGCCTGAACTCGCTTCCTGACTTGTGGCAGGCAAGATGCTTCTGCTGTGGCTTCATGGCCAGCCTTCTCCACCAGCCCTCCTGTTTCCCTGAGCCCTGCCTGTCATCTCTGCTTTCTTAGGATCCTGATTTCTGACAAGCAGGACTCCCTGGCCCAGTGCGCAGACTTCAGGAGCAGCCTGCCGTCCCAGGATGCCATGCTGTGCTCAGGACCATTAGCTATCATCCAGGGCCGCACTTCCAAGTAGGTGATCTGAGTCCTGCTACCACGGTTGTCAGCCCTGTCCCAGGAAGTGCCAGAGTTGGTGTGAGCCCCGCTCTGCCTAGCCTGGTGTCATTACCTGTCCCCCGCTCCCATAAGCATGTGGAACTGGGCAGGCCAGAGGACCGAGGGTTACGAGCCAACACCCTTTAGTATCTTAGAGGTGCTTAGATACCAGCCCTGTCCCAGGCAGGTCAAAGTGTCAAAGAAACACCCTTTTATAAGTCATGACCATGGTTACTCAGTGGAAAATAATTTTTTAGGTTGAGGGGTTAAGCCATCTCAGGACCCCCAGATAGCAAGCAGAGGAGGGCAGGAGCTCGAGCCAAAGGGACTCATGGCAGTTAGTGACTTGGCAGGAGCTGAGCTGTGACCTTACCACACAGGCCCCACTTGTTAGGTTGCAGCTGGTCTTGGGTAATCTGGGTGGAATGTTTCTGGAATGCCAGAGCGTGCAGGAAGCCTGGGACTGGGACAGAGAGCAGACCGGTCAGTGTGGAGGCACTGCCAGTTTACAGGCTGGTGAGCTTCCACAAAGACCTAGGCAGTCCCTGCCAGCTCCTTCTGGGGGCCTGGCACACATGGTGGCAGCGTCCTTCCCCCAGGCTCTGCCTATTGCCCCACCCTACCTACTCTGCCGATCTCTGCAGTTCGGGAAGACAAGCCGCTCGACTCTTCTCCATGCCTCACATGGTACAGCAGGAGACCACCTTGGCCTACCTAGAGAACCAGGTTGCCGCAGCCCTCAGCCTGCAGTCCAGCCACGAGTACCGCCATTGGCTCCTCATCTATGCACGGTACCTGGTGAATGAAGGTGAGGCTCTTTCCCGACTTGGCTTGATCTGTCTCTCCATGACTCTTTCTAAGGCCCATGGTTCAGGAAACAGGTGCAGTGGGCTGAGCTCTCTGTCCCCTCTGTCTTTATGGTCCCCTCCCGATAGTCATCTCCAGAGGCTTAGCCACCTGTTCCCTGCTTAGTCAGGTGGGTCCCTCCAACCTGTCTTCCAGTCTGAACCTTGTTTGGGAAAGTTCAGCTGGTGTCCAGCCCCTCACAGGCTCTAAGGTCCTGAGTGGAGAAGTTCTGAGGATGCTCCTTCACTGGCCTCAGAGGGCCAAGGCCAGAGGCATGCACGGGAAGGTTTTCCCCAGACGTGCAGAGATGAGAGGTTTAACTCCTGCGCTTCATCATGGTCTTGGCAGTCCTGTCACCCACGGGCGGGTGTTTTCTGGCAGCTTCCAGGAGGCCTGCGTTTCTGTACCTTCTTTCAGTCCCTCCTGGCCTACCAGGGCCTACCTGCTGTTCAACTCCTCCCCGACTCTCTAGCCCCAGTTTCCATGCCTGGGCTCTCAGAGATCACCCAGGCTACTCATGTCCAGCATCCCTTTCATATCCCCTGTTTGTCAGTAGGAAGAAAGATGTGTTGGGAACAGTGGCTACACTCCTTGAAGTGGCTCCATCAGCCTGTCAGCCCATTGCTGATCTAGAGTGCTTTGCTAGCCTCTGCCTCCACCTAAGCTTTCCGTGCAGGGGCCAAGGCCTGGGGACCGCCCCCCCTTCTCTCTGGGTCATTTCACAGTCCCCTCCAGGCTCTCTTCTGTCAGCCAGACTACTGAGCACCTTTTTTTCTCCTCCTGGCCTTCATTTTTCTTTCATAATCATCCATCCTCCCCCTTTCATTTAATATAGAAAGAGAACAATATGACAAACCCAAATAAATGTAGTTTAGAGTCAACATGACATGCTTGCCTTAGATTAAGTCCATGTGTGTAATATAGTCACAAAAATCACTTGATAAACTTCAAGTCCTTCCCATACTAAAAAAAACTCCAGCAGTGAATCTGATGTTTCTTCTTTGGCCAATAGATGTTTTTTTTTGGCCAATAGATTGCTGCTTTTTCAGAATATTCAACTCTTCTAAACCCTCACACTAATACTGACTTTCCTGGGGTTCTCTAGTCATATCTTGGGTCTCGAACCCCCAGTTCCTTGGGAGACTCCTTCTTTCATTCCTTTCCGGTGTGCAGTATCCCTAGTGCTGATCAGGACTTATTATGATGTTCTGCATGAAGTTTTTGCCTCCTCTGGGCCCCACCCTCCATCTGTGGGAGTCACCGTGCCCTGCTTCCTTTACTGTACCCCATCTTTGCTCTCACAGTCATTTGTCTGCCCAAGCCTGTGAAGAAGAGTCAGGGAAGACCTCATCTGTGTGCAGAATTCCCAAGTCCACTTTCACCACTCTTAATTCCACTGTTGTTTGTGAGGGATCTCATCCCTTCTCTTGGACATCAGCTGCCCCTAAGTGTGACTTGTCTAGAGTCTGCTCCACTTGTCTGTTCCCGCGGCCCTCGAGGTGACAGGTCTGTGCCTGCTGCTTCCCTCTCCTGTGCTTAGTCCACACCATCTTTCACCTTTTGACCCTTCCGGTTTCCTCTTCACGTCAGCTGCCAAGATGTCTTCTCTGAAACCAGTCAGACCAGAGCTTCCCCTCCTTCAGTATTTCCCCACGTTTCCCCCTCAGTCTGAGGGGTTTATCACAGAACGAGCCGTGTCTTGCTTTTCCTGTGAGCTCAGTACACAGAAGGCAGCATCGGCTCATGGCCCGGCACAGGGAGTGGGTGAAAGTGGATCGGTGATTATAGGTCTCCATGCCCCAAACTGAGAGACGCAAAAGGATTTCTGCCCCAGTAGGCAATAAAATAAGCGTTTGTTCATTCTGTTTTGATGTGCACAGCAAACATAGCATATTCTTGATTTTTTTGGTTTCTTTTTGTAATGTATTCCTGTTTTCTGTTTTGTTTTGTTTTTTGTTTTTTTTCTGTAATTAGGGTTTGAATACCGACTCCGAGAAATATGCAAGGACTTACTGGGTCCGGTTCACTGCTCCACTGGAAGCCAGTGGGAGTCAACAGTAGTGGTAGGTGCTTGTTTCATTCTTGCCACAAGAACTCTTACTTGAAAACGGAAGGTGGAGATTGATAAAATGAGCCAGCGTGCTTTGATACTCGTCCCCACCAGATTTCTTTAGCACATTCCTGGGTCCCAGATTGAGTAGGGCAAGAGCTGGAGTGGGCCACTGGAATGAGGAGCTTGGAAGCATCCAGTCTATGTGCTGAGGAAGGCTTGCCCTTTACAGGGGCTGTAGATTTAGTTGGGATCATAAAGGAGCCTTCTCCCCTGTTCGTGCAGCTTACAGTCTGATAGAAAGGCAAGTCTGAGCAAATAAACAGATTAGGTCAACCAGATACTTGGAGACTTTGGTGTTAAGAAGCAATAAGTGAGATATAAGCCAGGAGTGAAGGAGAGGGAAAGAGTGGTCAGAGTAGAACTCATAAGAGGTTGTTTACGGTGAGAATGAGCCAGTGCTGCAGAGACCCAGGCACAGAACGTCTAGTGGGGGGAACAGCAAGCGCAGAGAGGCTTGGCCTGCTTGAGGCTGCTCTGACTGCAGCATAGCGACCAAAGAAGTGGGCAGGCGCCTGGTCACGGCATCCTTGTGAGGAGTTGGGGCTTTAGTCTAGGCACTCGGAACCACCGGAGGAATTTCCACCGGGTGATGTGCTCTGAAATAGGAAACCAATCAGGACAAGTTTTACAACCATCTTATCAGTAGCTGAAGGTAGTTCGGATTAGTGTGCTGGTCATGAAAACAAGAAATCGGTTTTTAGGAGGCAAAACCCTGCAGGACTTAGTGGTTGGATGTGGAGTAAATAAGGAACAAAGGAAAAGGGGCACATAGTCACCCCAAAGTTTTCTGGCTTGCACAGCTGCATGGATGCCAGTGAGGGGGGAAGGGAGGGTACAGCCTGGCAAAGGCGGGCTAAGATGTGGATCCAAGAGTTAGCACCATGGCTTCACTGGCTTTTTGAGCAGATACTGGTAACATAGGGTGGTCCTCAGTGAGGGAGGTGGACTCATTAGTCGTTGTCTGCGGACTGAAAGGGTGAGCGAGCTGATGGGTGGACTGGGTGAGCCGAGTGCTGTGAGGAACATTGAGGGGGCAGGGCCGTGTGGACCTTGTTTTGGGAGCTGTATAAGCAGAGGTCAAGAGAAGCCTCACAAACTGACTTAACAAAGACAAAAAAACGTGAGGGAGGTGCCAGCAGGTATTTGGAGAAGGAATAACCAGACAGTGCAAAGCCCCTGAAATGGGAGAACCTGAGGAGGAAAAACATCAAGTAAGAAAGGGTCTGTCCTTGTGGGGTTTGGTCACCTTCATAGAAGAAACCTCCCGTTTTAAAAAATTCTATCACTAGTCCTTTATTCCTTTTTTGTTTTATGACAGTGTATTTTCATTTGATTGGGTAATGTAGGTTCAAAACAGTTTCCCCCTGAACGCTTAAAGATAATATTTCATATACTTTTTTAAAAAAAACTTTTATTGTAGTTTGGGTGAAGGTTTATCCACAGACTTTGAACATCTAAATATCTGATGCATATCTGACTTTCGAGGCTTCGTAAGCACTTTTGGTATTCCCTCCTAGGTATTTGGATGTTTCATTGATGTCCCCTTGTTTTTAAAATCTGTTATGTCTTTTCTTTCATAGGTTGAATTCTGTTCCAGATTTTCAGTCTAGTCTTTCTCTACCAGAATAAACACCAACCTTTCATTTCAGAATTTTGCGTGGATTAGGTCTCGTATCAGGAGTTCTACAGTTCTGTTTTCATGACTTGGGAAGGTGTCTGCTGGTTCTCATTCACATTGTACTATCCCTTTATGTGTCAGTTTGTCCTTAATCAGATGCTGGACATGGTGTTTTTTAAATTAGGTGTAGAAATAGACTAAAACTTAAGGCAGTGTTACCTGAGCATTTTTTATGCCAATGCCAACTTCTTCAGGCATCTTTGCCTTGATGCAGTTCACGGGGCAAGTTTTTTTGGGTTCCCTAGTCACAAAACTGAGTTCTTGCTGGTGAGTTTAGGCCTAAAAGCCTACATTTCTAAGATGTGTCTGGGTGTACCCACCCTACATCTTCTAAGCGGTTCATGATGGGCTCTGGTTCCTGCTTTAGTCCCTCTAGGCCCTTGAGGTTTTTTAGACTCTCCGCTCATCCTCTTCCTCGTCAGTAAACGTACCTGAGACAGGCCATCCCTCTCTGGCTCTCTACCATCTTGCACGTGGCCCAGTCACTTGGCACTGGGACTTAGCCCTTTGAGGTTTTCTGTTGTCCACCTTTCCTTCCTTCTTCATTGTAGTTTGTCTGGTACTAAAAGGAAAGTTTATAATTCCTTCTTGTTTATCTCTTCCAGATACTAACCAGAACACTTCTTAAAGTTGGCTTTTATTCCTTGAATTATTTGCCTTTTCTGGGTTCAGGAGCCATGGTAATGCAATGGTTAAGCTCGCAGCTGCTAACTGAAAGGTTGATGGTTCAAAGCCACCAGTCACCCGGCAAGGGAAGTGGCTGTCTGCGTGCTTCAAGATCAGAGCCTGGAAACTGTGCAGAAGTTCTGCTCGGTTTTACAGGGACTCTGAGTTGGAATCATTGTGTTTCCTAGGTACACGCTTTCATTTGTTCCCTGTGGTCCTTATTTTTTAAAGTGTTCCTGTGCTCATCTGGGCATGCCTGGCTGTCACATCATCATTCTAATTCAGGACCCAACTTGTTGCCAGCTCAGATTTTCTTTTTAAGAGTGGAACTGCTTGCCTAGGACACCACATCTCCAGCAGGTGAAAAGATTAGAACATGGTGCACCATGGTAGTTTTCTGTCTCAGTTTGAGGCTCGGGGCCCAGGGACACAGAGGCGCGGAGGAGAAGAAGTGCACAGGCGAGCTGTCAGTCAGCTAATGCCTATAGTATCTTCCCCTCTCTCCCATCTTCCTGTTTATTCTTCCTGACTAAGCAGGGTGCTTTCTCCAGAGGGAGGATCTTCTCCTGAGTGTGTTCTGGGCTATGGCTCCCCTGCCAGGTCACTCATAAAGGTGGTCCCACCTGCTTTTATCCTCCCACAAAGGCAGAAAAAACAGCCTAAGATGGCTCATCTGCTGCTGGCCCCTGTATCCTCGGCTTGTGCTTTCAGCTGCAAGTAAATGACAACCCAGATAAAGAAGCCTTGTGTAGGAATTGGGTGGGATCTTGTTGTCTTTCTTTTTTTTTTCAATTCTCTTCTCTAAAACAAATTGGAGTTAGACGGTGGCCCAGATTCAACAAGGTGATTATTGTGCCCACGTGCAAAGAGTCAGGAAGACCCAAGGAAGCCAGTACCTGTAATATCCACCTCTTTTATTAGGAAATGTCAAGTTCTCCCCATAGCCCTTTCCTCAGCCCAGTAGATGTCTTCATGCCTCACAAGCTAATCCCAGCTGGCTTGGACAGCTGACTGCAGAGAAACAGTATGTAGACAGAAGTCTTAAAAATCAACTCAGAGGCTTGCAGAACATATAATAAATGTGCATCCAACTTTAGAACTGATAAACCAACATCATTTGCTAAATAATGTCTTTTCCTCCACTGATTTTAAATGCAACCTTAAATCCACAGATCAGCTTTTGTCACTTTGAACTTTTCTCTTTGTCCCCATGTTCTAAGTACTACATGCCCTCATCCAGGCATCTTTGTGCGCTTCTGAGCCACTTGACTTGTCAGGGAGCACAGGGCCTGGCACGCCAGGTGGATGGGTGACTGATGGAGACAGGCTCAGCTTAGGCACTGGGAATGCTATAAGGAGCCCTGTTTTCTACAATGTAAGGATCTGGGGAATCTCCTCCACAAAGCTGGTGATAGATGGTAATCCTGGACTGAACAGTGGTTCCCCTTGTTGTCCATGCAGTGGCTTCCTTGAACTCATTTAACTTACTTCTCTGTTTGCAATTAATATTGTTAACCTCCTATACACGTCCAACACATGAAATAGTATTAATAAATGGGCACCACCCTTTGTTCCTCATTCACCTTGTTGTCTTTCCCAAAGGCAGCATATTGAATTTTGTATTTTTCATTCTCTTCCTTTTCATTTTGGGTTATCCATTCAGATTCCTTTCCCACTTCCCTTTCTCATGAGTGTGCACCAACTCGTTTCATGTGCACTTGCGTATAGCACGTTTGGTTTTAGTTGTCTTTGGACTTGTTATCAAGGGTGAGCTCTGGGTGGTGCAAATAGTTACCATACTCAACTGCTAACCCAAAGCCTGGAAGTTACGGTCCATGTGGAGTCATCTTAGGAAATAAAGCCTTGCTGTCCTGTGGACTGCCAAAAGAGCAAACAGATAGGGCTTGGAGAACTTGCCACCAGGGTGCTCCTTAGAGGCAAGGATGGTGATACTTGGTCTCATGCTTTGGGCATGTTGATACGAGGGCCAGTTCTTAAAAACAGACTTCCTGCTTGGAGAGGTAGAGGGTCAGTGAAGGAGGGGAAGACCCTTAACACAATGGACTGATGCAGTGTCTGTTAGCAGCTGGTTCAGCTATATCAGAGAGGGTGAAGATGGCATAGGATAGGGCAAGGTTCATAGGGTCTCTATGAACAGCCACAACATCTAAAAAAATCCAACCCTTTAGGAGCACAGCTATCCTCTGGTACACATGAGTCACCAAGAATTCTAATCAGTTAGATGGAAATTAGAAAAAACTTCGAAACATTACTCAGTTATGGGATTTCCTCATTTTGGATTGGCCCACTCGCCTGTCAGTGGGCATGTGGGCTATTTCAGTCTGAGCAGAGCTACTGCTGACATTTTTGGTTTTGTCTCTTGATGTTCTTGTTTATAATTAGGAGCTGGAATTTTTGGTCACAGGATATAGTGATGTAAGACTTTTTAGGATAATAGCAGATGAGATTTTTAAATGTTTATCAATTTATGCACACACCCACAGTGAATGTAAGGAGCTCACTACATGCCTTCTATTCTGTGCTAAGTGTGGTCAGATTTTTCTGAATATTTGCCAATAGGTTGAATATAAGATAAAATTTTCTTT